AGTCCCGTGACACTTGTGGGGGTCGTAGAGCAAAACTGAGAACAACTTTCCACAGTGGGGATTGTAGCCCAATTAGTTTGCAGCCCAGACGGTTCGGACGATACCAAACAGAAGTTGGCACATCGACGGTACTGACTTCAGACGAGTCTCCTGACACTTGTGGGATTTGTAGATCAAAACGGAGAACACCACCGTGTTCGTGAGAGTCGTCCCTTTCCATAATAGTTTCTAGGTCAAACCGTTCGGACGCTACAGACGTTTACATGACAAGAACGATTTTCGGGATGTCTCATGGTCTGACAAACACCGCTACGCGGTGGATTGAGACGCATCCAATGCAAAAAACATATCACTTATCAGGGCTCAGGCTAAGACCGAGATGCAGACACAGGAGGCAGATAGTACGAGTCTCAGAGTGTATTACAGTACAAAGGGCAGGCAAAAGGTAAATCAAGGCAGGCAAAGAGTCGTAATCCAAATCAGAGTCAGGCAGGTACAGGACGGCAGGCAGGATCAGGGTCAGGACAGGCAGGATCAGGGTCAGGACAGGCAGGATCAGGGTCAGGACAGGCAGGATCAGGGTCAGGACAGGCAGGATCAGGGTCAGGACAGGCAGAAAGGTCAGAACTGGGAAGACTAGGAAAAACAAAAACTAGAGCACAGGAAACACAGGAACACGCTGGGAGGACTTGATGGGACAAGACGAACTGGCAACAGACAAGCAGAAAACGCAGGTATAAATACACATGAGGTAATGGGAGACACTTGGTGGGGGTTGGAGACAATCACAAGACAGGTGAAACAGATCAGGGTGTGACATCACTAGTTTAAACTGACAGATTTTAATGGTGATTTTTTTGTTATGTAACTTAGATTAACGCACCAGTGCGTCAATTGACTCTAGGAGGTTATAAGAATGACTGGTCCGGGTAAAGCTTTAATTTTCCAAGACTGGTGAAAACACTGCGAAAAACAAGAAATTAGCTTCCCAAATGATGTCAATTTATGACATACTGTAATTAAGACATGATTATGACTTAAACATGAATCTCCTTACCAGGAATCTAAGGAAAAGAGAGAATGCTACCGTAAACATAAAGGTCTCATCTGGTTCAGACAACTAAAACACATCAGTCGTATGTGGTACAATACACACAATCTATACAGTAGGCCTAGAAATCCATGTGTTACCTGGTTTAGACAGCTGAACACATCAGTAATGTATAGGAACATATCTACAATCTATACAGTACATACATGTATGTCTGCTACCCCCCCATTATAACTGCAAACACCCTTAGCAGCAATGGATGCTGGAAGGTCAGTGGTTTCTCTAAGCTATCACAGACATTTGTAATAGGTGCGACTGAGCACACACACACAGACACACACATAAACACACACGTGGCCAGTGATTTTAATGCAGGTAAACTGATATCCGTTTAACCTCTTTTTGACCAGCATGTCAGTTGTGCAACTAGAGGCGGAAAAACTCTAGATCTCTTTACTCCACACACAGAAACGCATACAAGGCGCTCCCTCGCCCTCCCTTTGGCAAATCAGATCATAACTACTGCTTATAAGCAAAAACTCAAACAAGAAAAACCAGTGACACACTCAATACGGTGTCACGATCGTCGGGAAGAGAGGACCAATGCGCAGCGTGGAATGTGAACATACTTATTTATTGAACGAACAAAACAACAAACGATACGAAACGTGAAGTCCTTGGTTACAATACACACCATACGGAACAAGAAACCACACCAAATGAATGCCTAACGGCTACCTAAGTATGGCTCCCAATCAGAGATAACGAGCTACAGCCGTCTCTGATTGGGAGCCACCCTGGCCAACATAGAAATACAAAACTAGACTATCACCCTAGCACACAAAACACAAAGAAACAACACACCCTGGCTCAACATAACAGAGTCCCAGAGCCAGGGCGTGACATACGGAGGGTGGTCCGATTAAGCGGATGCTAAGCTACAGGACTGTTTCGCTAGCACAGACTGGAATATGTTCCGGGATTCATCCGATAACATTGAGGAGTTTACCACATCAGTCACCGGCTTCATTAATAAGTGCATCAATGACGACGTTCCCACAGTGACCATAAGTATATACCTCAACCAGAAACCAACGATTACAGGCAACATCCACACTGAGCTAAAGGCTAGAGCTGCCACTTTCAAGGAGGGGGACATTAATTTGGACGCTTAAAAGAAACACACTACAACCTCCAACGAGCCATCAAACAGGCAAACCTCGAATCCTACTACGACGGCTATGATGCTCAAAGGATGTGGCAGGGTTTGCAAACTATCATAGATTACAAAGGGAAACCCAGTGACGCGAGCTGCACAGCAACCAGACGAGCTAAATTCCTTCTATGCTCACTTCGAGGCAAGCAATACTGAATCATGCATGAGAGCACCAGCTGTTCCGGACGACTGTGATCTCGCTCTCCGTAGCCGATGTGAGTAAGACCTTTAAGCAGGTTAACATTCGCAAGGCCGTGGGGCCCGACGGAATACCAGGACTGACTCCAACATGTGAGTAAGACCTTTAAATAGTTTAACACATCGACTCGGTACTGGTGCTCCCTGTATATAGCCGTGTTATTACCTGGTACCTCTGCACATCGACTTGGTACTGGTACTTCCTGTATATAGACATGTTATTACCTGGTACCCCTGCACATCGACTCTGTACTGGTACTTCCTGTATATAGCCATGTTATTACCTGGTACCCCTGCACATCGACTTGATACTGGTACTCCCTGTATATAGCCGTGTTATTACCTGGTACCCCTGCACATCGACTTGATACTGGTACTCCCTGTATATAGCCATGTTATTACCTGGTACCCCTGCACATCGACTATGTACTGGTACTTCCTGTATATAGCCATGTTATTACCTGGTACCCCTGCACATCGACTCTGTACTGGTACTTCCTGTATATAGCCATGTTATTACCTGGTACCCCTGCACATCGACTCGGTACTGGTACTTCCTGTATATAGCCATGTTATTACCTGGTACCCCTGCACATCGACTCTGTACTGGTACTTCCTGTATATAGCCATGTTATTACCTGGTACCACTGCACATCGACTCGGTACTGGTACTTCCTGTATATAGCCATGTTATTACTTGGTACCCCTGCACATCGACTTGATACTGGTACTTCCTGTATATAGCCGTGTTATTACCTGGTACCCCTGCACATCGACTCTGTACTGGTACTTCCTGTATATAGCCATGTTATTACCTGGTACCCCTGCACATCGACTCGGTACTGGTACTTCCTGTATATAGCCATGTTATTACCTGGTACCCCTGCACATCGACTTGATACTGGTACTTCCTGTATATAGACATGTTATTACCTGGTACCCCTGCACATCGACTCTGTACTGGTACTTCCTGTATATAGCCATGTTATTACCTGGTACCCCTGCACATCGACTCGGTACTGGTACTTCCTGTATATAGCCATGTTATTACCTGGTACCCCTGCACATCGACTTGATACTGGTACTTCCTGTATATAGCCGTGTTATTACCTGGTACCCCTGCACATCGACTTGATACTGGTACTTCCTGTAAATAGCCATGTTATTACCTGGTACTTCCTGTATATAGCCATGTTATTTTTACTCGTTATTGTTATTCAGTGTGTATTTACTTCTCGTCACTATTTAGCTTTTTTATTTGTTTTTGTTGTTATCTTTAACTCTGCATTGTTGGAAAAGGACCTGTAAGTCAGCATTTCACTGTTAGTCTACACAAGTAACATTTGATTTGATTTGACCTATATTTGAACTGAGTGGGTGGGGGATATTAGAAGTCTGAGTACCAGTCTCTTTAGCTAACGTTCCACTCCTTCCACTCCTTGTCATTGGCAAAGAGACTGGCCTTTCAGCAATCTCAGCGTTCAATATGTGCTGGATTTACCGCAGAGTTGCTCATTGGTTGTTTTAAATAACATACATATTTTCTTTGAAAATAGAATTAGAATTTATAACAAATTCAAAAACAAACATTTAGCCATTAGCTAGGCAAGTTGTTGTATTTTGAGGCTTAATAATTTAAACTAAGATGTTTTGTGGTTGGAATTGTAGTATGTATTTAGTTTGACAGACAGGTTGGTCGCAATATATGGTCGCAATATTTGCATAATCTTTGTGATTGGAGGATAGCTGTGAGTCCGTTTCTGTTCAAATCAGGATCAAGTCCTCTGTTCTCCTCGAGCTCATTAGGATAAAATGCTGATATTTCAAGATGTCAGAAAGGCCGTTCTCTTTGGCACATGACATGGAGTACAGTGAGTGGATTACCTAGAGTCTTGTACCCAGGCTAGGACAATAGACCTATATTTGAACAGAGGGGGACATTAGAACTATATTTGAACAATTGAGATGACTGATCCTCGGTTTCTAGCTAGCCATGTTTGACATAGGACAAAGAGTACAAGGAGTGGAATGTTAGCACAAACAGACTGGTACCCAGGCTAGTTTCTAGATACCTGGAGCAACATTCCATACATTTGTTCAGAGAAGGGGTGTGTTCGTAAATGCAGTCAAGCACCCAAGCTAACTGGCTAACGTTGGCTAGCTTGCTAGCTACTTCCAGACACAAATCAGAGAACACCTCACTCTGACCGTTTTACTCACCCTAGCAGAGCTGGTTTGGCTGTTTTCATGTTATCTATAGTGTTGGTGACTGTAACTGTGCTGCTGGCAACGATTTTATTATGCTTCTTTGCTGACACCGGCCATATTCAAAGGGTGTTGAGCATTCGTAAATTCATCAGTTATTCTGCGCTCTGGCACGCTCAGACGAGAGTGCTCTGAAATCGGAGTAGATAGCCAGAGTGAATTTACGAACGCACCCCAAGGTCTCTGTGAAATTATTGGTTGCCGTAGCAACAGCAAATACCAAAATGTTTCTTCAATTTTTAAAAAACCTTTTATTTAATAAAAGATAATAAACGCTGTATCACGGAGGTGTGAACAACACCATTGAATGGTTGTTATGTCATCTCTAAATAAACAACAAAATAACTGGTGTCAACAAGGTGAGATAGAACTTTGGACAAAACTGTTAAAACTTTCAATATAAATATGAAGGATATACAACAAAAAGACTAACTTTGATTATATTTACAAAAATGTTGAAGCAATTACAAAAATATAATTCTTTAGCGTGAAATACACTGTTCAGTGCATAGAAATACTAATAATTTACATATGTAAATAAAAATTGTAAAGCGTTTTTTTAAAACTTAACAGGGTCATGTATGTAGGTTAGAAAGGGAAACTATTTTATTTGAAGTTAGATATATAAATAGCGATATAAATATATTATGAACTTTTTCTCTGCTTTCAAACTTCAAAGCCAAGCAGATGTCAAAGGTTATATTCTTCTTCTTAGTGTCACTGGCATCTGTGGATCAAATAATGAAAATGTGTTATTACATGTGTTGTAAAATGGCTGTTCAACTACGGTCTATGAGGCCCAAACATTTCTGATTTACATCATTCTAATCAGGGACTGATTCATTCACATCAGGTGAGTGGACTCTCTGGCCAAGTAATGGCATAAATTGATCAATGAACTACTATCGAAACTATCAAACCATCTAACTAACTAGTCAAAAGGGGTGTGTCTCAAGTTGCAATCTACCTGCAAGAGCCATGGTTGAAGTGCTGTTTGTTGGTAGTACATGCAGTATGGTTTAGGTGACATGCAGGGTAGCATGGTCTGGGTCCTGGGTTAGGGTGGGCCGTGGGGACAGGGTAGCGCGGTCTGGGTCCTGGGTTAGGGTGGGCCGTGGGGACAGGGTATCGCGGTCTGGGTCCTGGGTTAGGGTGGGCCGTGGGGACAGGGTAGCATGGTCTGGGACACAGTCACACCTGTCAACATCTATTTCACAGTCCTCCGGCCTCATACTGGTAGAAAAGTCTGGAACAAACAGAGAGAAAACATAGGAATGACTTAATATTACTACAGGGGCCAGACCAGAGAAAATGGAGAGAGAACTAAAGAAAACATCAGAATAACTTCTTCCTACAGAGGCTATACAATATCCTGAATAACTTCTTCCTACAGAGGCTATACAATATCCTGAATAACTTCTTCCTACAGAGGCTATACAATATCCTGAATAACTTCTTCCTACAGAGGCTATAAAATATCCTGAATAACTTCTTCCTACAGAGGCTATACAATATCCTGAATAACACCCTGATTTAGCATCCCCAGCGCATTACAATGGAATGGTCCTAAAAGTGCAAACACTGCCCAAACTCAGTGTGCATCTACTGGGCTGGATAGCTGATATATCTACCAGTAGTACTAACCTGGTTGTTTAGTGGAGGGGTAGGACACAGTGGTACTAACCTGGTTGTTTAGTGGAGGGGTAGGACACAGTGGTACTAACCTGGTTGTTTAGTGGAGGGGTAGGACACAGTGGTACTAACCGGGTTGTTTAGTGGAGGGGTAGGACACAGTGGTACTAACCTGGTTGTTTAGTGGAGGGGTAGGACACAGTGGTACTAACCTGGTTGTTTAGTGGAGGTATAGGACACAGTGGTACTAACCTGGTTGTTTAGTGGAGGGGTAGGACACAGTGGTACTAACCTGGTTGTTTAGTGGAGGGGTAGGGCACACAGCGGTCGGCCATGCAGTCCCAGATCAACCCACTGGCACACAGACGCCTGGAGTCCTCTGATTTAGAGAGCTGGCGCATCGGAGAGCACCTGCAACCAAACACACAGGCTGGTTAGTGCTAAGGGTATGACTAGAGGGTGTGTGTGTGTGTGTGTGTGTCTGTTTGGGTCTGTTTGGGTCAATGTGTGTGTGTGTGTGTATATGTGTGTGTTTCTGTTTATGTTAGTGTGTGTGTGTGTGTTTCAGTTTGTGTTAGTGTGTGTGTGTTAGTGTTTATGTTATTGTGTGTTTGTTCCGGTTTGTGTTAGTGTGTGTGTGTGTTTCTGTTTATGTTAGTGTGTGTGTGTGTGTTTCTGTTTCTGTTAGTGTGTGTGTGTGTTAGTGTGTGTGTGTTTATGTTAGTGTGTGTATCTGTGTGTATCTGTGTGTATCTGTGTGTATCTGAGTCTGTGTGTATCTGTGTGTATCTGAGTCTGTGTGTATCTGTGTGTATCTGAGTCTGTGTGTATCTGTGTGTATCTGTGTGTATCTGTGTGTATCTGAGTGTGTATCTGTATCTCTGGACTCACCCGTTCCTCCTGTGAGAGCGTATATGGGCTTGCCGTCGGATCAGGGGCGGTTCCATACACTTACACACTGTGTGATTGGCTACCTTTATCAACACCGGCTCAGGTCCGTATTTGAACGGTATCACACTCAGCAGCTGCAGGACGAAAAGTGTCAGAACACATTAGTCCGTTTCTGGAGTCAGTGATCCACTTGGTGGAGAGAGCTGTATTTTATTTGACTCATTGTTGGCCCAACGATGTGCATGCATGTACAGTACGTACCAGTGGAGGCTAGTGAGGGGAGGACGGCTCATAATAATGGCTAGAACGGAGTCAATGGAATGGTATCAAACACATGGAAACCCCATCTTTGATGTGTTTGATTCCACTCCATTGACTCCATGCCAGCCATTATTATGAGCCGTCCTCCCCTCACCAGCCTCCTCTGGTCTGTACGTACTGTATATTCACACTCTCCAAAGTGCTTGTCATTTAGGAGCACTTATCAATAATTACAATTGTCTTAAAACATAAATCAGGGGTCCCAAACTAGATTCAGCCGCAGGACGATTTTTGTTGGAGCGGATGGTCGGGGTGCCGGAACATAATTATAATAATTTGTACACTGCAAATTGACCACAACTAAGACCAAAAAGAGGTTTCATTTGAAAATAACAGTAATTTCATACCTTGATTATATTGAGACACGATTAAATATGCATCTTTTTCTATTAGTGGGAATAATTGGGAACAGATTTCCTAAATTTAAACAATTTTTTGCTGAATACCTGGTGATTTTACGGTCTTTTTTTAGACCCCAAAATATATATTTATTTACAAAAATAATTGGGGGGCCCAAAAAAGTAACTTGTGGGTCAGTTTTGGCCGTGGGCCGACTGTTGCTGACCCCTGCCATAAATCAGTCATTTATTAATAATAATACTAATAATGCAGATATTTAGGGTACTTAAAGAGGAAATGCTCACTGTTTTATTAATATAGGTTGTACTTGTGTTTCTGCATGAGACACCCTCTGTGTTGCAGCATCCGTTACACCTGAAGACGGACACGCAGGGGGGCTTGAAGAACATGGAGGTCGTGGTGCCCAGTTCCTTTGCCACGTCTACACACGTCTCTCTGGGCATGCACTGGGTCTTCTGCCACTCATCGTCTATGGCTGATGAAGACATACACACAACACCACCAGTTATACACAACACCACCAGTTATACACAACACCACCAGTTACACACAACACCACCAGTTACACACAACACCACCAGTTATACACAACACCACCAGTTACACACAACACCACCAGTTACACACAACACCACCAGTTATACACAACACCACCAGTTATACACAACACCACCAGTTATACACAACACCACCAGTTACACACAACACCACCAGTTACACACAACACCACCAGTTACACACAACACCACCAGTTATTACACAACACCACCAGTTATCACAAACACCACCAGTACACACACACCACCAGTTTACACACAACACCACAGTTACACACAACACACCACGTTACACACAACACCACCAGTTATACACAACACCACCAGTTATACACAACACCACCAGTTACACACAACACCACCAGTTTACACACACCACCGTTAACACAACACCACCAGTTACACACACACCACCAGTTATACACAACACACCACACCACCAGTTACACACACACACCACCAGTTATACACAACACCACCAGTTACACACACACCACCAGTTACACACAACACCACCAGTTATACACACAACACCACCAGTTTACACAACACCACCAGTTACACACAACACAACCACCAGTTATACACAACACCACCAGTTAACACAACACCACCAGTTTACACACAACACCACCAGTTATACACAACACCACCAGTTTACACAACACCACCAGTTACACACAACACCACCAGTTACACACAACACCACCAGTTACACACAACACCACCAGTTACACACAACACCACCAGTTACACACAACACCACCAGTTATACACAACACCACCAGTTACACACAACACCACCAGTTACAACACAACACCACCAGTTACATCACAACACCACCACAGTTATACACAAACACCACCAGTTACACACAACACACAGTTACACACAACACCACAGTACCACCACCAGTTACACACAACACCACCAGTTACACACAACACCACCAGTTACACACAACACACAACCAGTTACAACACACAGTTTACACAACACCACCAGTTATACAAACACACAGTTACACACAAACACAGTTACACACAACACCACCAGTTATACACAACACCACCAGTTACACACAACACCACCAGTTACACACAACACCACCAGTTACACAAAACCACCAGTTACAAACACCACAGCACACAACCACAGTTACACACAACCACACACACAGTTACACACAGAAAAAAACTAATAGCCACTATAGAGACTTGCTTTGGGTACCGTCTGGGTACACTCACATTCTAACCTCAAAACATGCATTAGCTACCTGGAATTAATGCCTAGGCTTTAGCTCGGAGGGTTAACACAGTCTTGAGAAGACCCAGTGTTCAAACCAGTCTGTCCCATAATTTATGACTATCTTCAGGTAGCGCATTAACTAATGCCCAGCCTTTAGCTCAGAGGGCTAACGCACAGTAGATGCAGATTTTGAACCCACATACCTTTGAATATCCCCAGGCTGTAGGAGCCAGCAGCATATCTCAAGGAACAATACCAAAGCTTTAGCTTAGAGAGCCAACACAGTTTTGAGGAGACCCAGGTTTCGAACCCATATACCTTTGAGTATCTCCAGGCTGTAGGATGCTGCAGCGTAGCGCGTGGAGCGGTGTGACCCAGACCCAGCGGAGGAGGAGGAGGAGGAGGAGGAGGAACGGTGGTCGGGCTGCTGAGAGGAAGAGGATGAGGGAGACGTCTCCAGGTGTTTGAGTTTTAGACGACACTTCCACAGCTTCCAGTCAGGGAAGTCTGTCAGCATGAGCAGCTCGTCCAGACTGGAGGCCGAACGCACATCCCTCTCCCACTTCTCCTGGTTGATCACCTGCAGGGAGGAGAGGAGGAGGACAAAGACTTTAGAGTGATATATGTTGTTTTAAAGACAGGAGAGAAAATAAGCTCCAACACATCTGGTAAAGTGCTGGAAAACATTGTTAGTCGGTTTGTGAGTCAAAAGTCTCACCACAAGAGGGCAGCACTCTTACATCCAAATCAGGATAAACTTTAGATGCTATTGAGGCTGGCATACAAGGACTGGACTGAGTTGATGATATATGCAAGTCAGTCTGATTCTCCACACGCATATCCACCTCTGACTGGGCTATTATTGGCCAAGGCCAGGTCACACAGACCATCAACAGCTGTCCTGGGATTTAAGACTATCATGATTTAGATCACAACAGATACAAAAACATTTGGTGCTTCTGCGTATTATAGTACTATATTACTACGTGTGTAATCATTACTTCTTCTCATTCCCATGACTGTTTATAGCTGGATGAGAAGAGACCCATTGTACCCCACATGCACAGTAGATCCCCTGGCATCAGCCCACAGACAACATAACAGCTGGGAATGTGGAGTTGGCTGGGGTGGCATTAGGAGGTAGTGGGGGATAATGGGGGGCAGGGGTTCCCAGGGACCAACTGTTGAGGAGCTCTGAGAAGACAAGCTTCCTCCTTCCCATGGAGCAGAGGATGCAGGAGAGCCACAGAATATTAGGAGAGCTAGCTACTGTTTCCCACAGAGACAATCTTACAACTGCTGCTGCAAATACTACTGTAGATAACAAGTAGGTAGGTCACTAACAAACATTCAGTACTACTGCAGATAACAAGCAGGTAGGTCACTAACAAATATACAGTACTACTGCAGAGAACAAGCAGGTAGGTCACTAACCAACATAAAGTACTACTGCAGATAACAAGCAGGTAGGTCACTAACAAATATACAGTACTACTACAGATAACAAGCAGGTAGGTCACCAACTAACCAACATAAAGTACTACTACAGATAACAAGCAGGTAGGTCACTAACAAATATACAGTACTACTACAGATAACAAGCAGGTAGGTCACCAACTAACCAACATAAAGTACTACTACAGATAACAAGCAGGTAGGTCACCAACTAACCAACATAAAGTACTACTGCAGAGAACAAGCAGGTAGGTCACTAACCAACATAAAGTACTACTGCAGATAACAAGCAGGTAGGTCACTAACAAATATACAGTACTACTGCAGAGAACAAGCAGGTAGGTCACTAACAAATATACAGTACTACTACAGATAACAAGTAGGTAGGTCACTAACAAATATACAGTACTACTGCAGAGAACAAGCAGGTAGGTCACTAACAAATATAGAGTACTACTGTAGAGAACAAGCAGGTAGGTCACTAACAAATATACAATACTACTGCAGATAACAAGCAGGTAGGTCACTAACAAATATACAGTACTACTGCAGAGAACAAGCAGGTAGGTCACATAAGCCATAAGGCCCAAGGGGGTGTGGTATATGACCAATATACTACGGCAAAGGGCTGTTCTTAAGCACGACGCAATGCGGAGTGCCTGGATACAGTCCTTAGCCGTGGTATATTGGCCATATATCACAAACTGCTGAGGTGCCTTATTGCTATTATAAACTGGTTACCAATGTAATTAGAGCAGTAAAAATAAATGTTTTGTCATACCTGTGGTATACGGTCTGATATACCACAGCTGTCAGCATTCAGGGCTCAAACCATCCAGTTTATAATAACAAATATACAGTACTACTGCAGATAACAAGCAGGTAGGAAAATCTGACCACATTTTCTGTCTATCCCCAATCATTCATAAACTTGTGTTGTGTGATCTCTCTCAGTGCCCTGCAGGCCGACATGGAGAATGGGAACAGTCACGTGTACAACTCCAAACACATTGGAGGAAGCCTCTCTGGTATTAGAGCTGACCAGTCCTGTGGTGCTGTGGCTTCTTCCCTGCCTCCACTCATAGCCTTCAAATCATTTTTACACTAAATTCACTCTCTGCACGCTCTTACCCAAAAAACTAAGACATTACATTATGACTGTGTTGGTGTAATGTAAATATAACTACCAAGTGTCGCAATTTAAATTGTCCATTGTTGCCAATTGTAAAAGTTCAAAATCATAACAGCCTTTTAAACATTTACAATATAAAAGGGTGCGGTCAGATTGAGTGAGAAAGACAAAAAGCGAGGGAATGAGGGACTTCCATTCATTTCTAAGATGGGAAGGGAAACCCACAGAACGGATGGAAAGTTTAATAAACAGCGGAGAGGAGAGGAGGAGGAGGAGAGGAGAGAGGAGAGGAGAGGAGAGGAGAGGAGAGGAGAGGAGAGGAGAGGAGAGGAGAGGAGAGGAGAGGAGAGGAGAGGAGAGGAGAGGAGAGGAGAGGAGAGGAGAGGAGAGGAGAGGAGAGGAGAGGAGAGGAGAGGAGAGGAGAGGAGAGGAGAGGAGAAGGAGGAGAGGAGGGGAGAGGAGGAGAGGAGAGGCCGGGCCAGGGCTGGGGCAGAGAAAAAGGACTGTCATGCAATATAAAACTTGTCAGACAAACAGAAACTGCTTGCTTTGATTTCTTCCAGTCATTGTAACGACATGAGCCGCCACTGATCTGTTCAATATGTGAGGACTGTGATGTTAGGGTGTAGCTGGCTGCTTCCTCAACGTGAGGACTATGATGTTAGGGTGTAGCTGGCTGCTTCCTCAACGTGAGGACTATGATGTTAGGGTGTAGCTGGCTGCTTCCTCAACGTGAGGACTATGATGTTAGGGTGTAGCTGGCTGCTTCCTCTATGTGAGGACTATGATGTTAGGGTGTAGCTGGCTGCTTCCTCTATGTGAGGATTCTGATGTTAGGGTGTAGCTGGCTGCTTCTTCAATGTGAGGACTATGATGTTAGGGTGTAGCTGGCTGTTTCCTCTATGTGAGGATTCTGATGTTAGGGTGTAGCTGGCTGCTTCCTCTATGTGAGGATTCTGATGTTAGGGTGTAGCTGGCTGCTTCCTCTATGTGAGGATTCTGATGTTAGGGTGTAGCTGGCTACTTCCTCTTAAACCAGACAGACAGGAAGTTTTCTTTTCGTTCTTCTGCATTTTAGACCCAGGGGAAAGCAGGGCCCCAAGGGGAGAGAGATCGGGAGATTGAGAGAGAGTGAGTGAGTGAGGGGGAGGGAGCGAGACAGTGAGAGAGAGAGAGAGAGAGAGAGAGAGAGAGGAGCAAGAGAGAGGAGAGAGAGAGAGAGAGAGAGAGAGAGAGAGAGAGAGAGAGAGAGAGAGACAGACAGGGAACAAGAGAGAGGAGAGAGAGAGAAAAAGAGCGAGAGAAAGAGAGAGAGAGAGAGAGAGAAGTGATTGATCATTTAGGAAGTTCAAACGCTCCTCTCCCCAGGTCAGTGAGATCTTGTTACCGCCGACGCGTGCTTCCGCTTCCAATAAATTTGCACTGTCTACGTAAGAGGCACACACGCACACACACACACACACACACACTGCACACACACACACACTGCTCATTAGACCATGTCAGCTCTGATCTTCATGGACAGATCACAGGTGGTGTGTGTGAGGTTTCTCTACGCCCCCTGACAACTGGTCAGTGCTAGTTTTATCAGCTCACATGGTGAGTTGTAAGAAGAGTTGATTCAGTTTATAAGAACAGAAAGATGGACTCAAATCTGGTGTCTGCAGTGGGAGACACGTGTCCACATTTCATGACATACTTGTCGTCATTAATAAATATCCTCTTCATGATGAATCCACAGAATAAGCGCCTGGGCAGAACATGACTTGCAGATGAAACAGTGCCTGATCTGGACATTGAATCCACAGAATATAGAGGCAGAACATGACTTGCAGATGAAACAGTGCCTGATCTGGACATTGAAGCCATACAGGAATTAAGTGCATAGACAGTGTACACTTACCCTGAGAGAGCTGGGATCATCTTGAACCTTTTTTGACATTCCCAAGTTCAACTTCACCAACACCAGCATCATTCCAACACCGGCAGCAAGCATACTCCGCATCCTCTGTTTCAATGCTGTATCTCAATCTCTTTTATGTTCAAAGTTCTCCTTCTGTCTCTTTATGGTCAATTTTCAGCCTCTGGACAGAAGTTCTATAACAGAGAGCAGTTTCTGTATTGGGTAATCCTCTATAACAGAGAGCAGTTTCTGTATTGGGTAATCCTCTATAATAGAGAGTAGTGCCAGAGGAAGGAGACTCCTCACTACAGACCAGCCCCTCTCAGACTGGCGCTGACTCCTCAGACCACACACAAGCTCCTGTCACAGTCCCCCTGGTCACAGACACCTCTCTCTCTCTCCCTCTCTCTCTCTCCCCCCAACTACACACAGCAAAGTTTCACTCAGTCACTTGAGACTGCCTCAAGGATTCTTAAGACTGTCTCTCTATTGGTCCAACTACAAGCAACGACTCTTAAGACTGTCTCTCTATCTGTTGCCTGTCTTGACTATCCCCACTCTTCTCTTCTCTCCAGTTAGTCCAGACCTCTTCAGATCTCATTATCCACTGTGTGTCTCAGCCTCTGTGATAAAGGGCCTGCTTGTCACAGCGAGCGAGCACAGCCCCACACTTAGTTCCTGTCCTTCAGGGTTGAGAGGGCTGTTTGTCTGTCTGACCCTGCCTTGTCTCCCTGGCGCTGTCTGTCTGTCTCTCTGTCCCTACCTTTGCTGCCTGGTTCTGTCTGTCTGTCTGTTGCTGCCTGGTTCTGTCTGTCTGTCTGTTGCTGCCTGGTTCTGTCTGTCTGTCTGTTGTTGCCTGGCTCTGTCTGTCTGTAAGTCTGTTCTGTCTGCCCCTGCCTTGGCTGTTAAATCCAATGCCTCTGTATTTCCACAGAGTTCAGCTGGAGCAGTATGAACATGTGTTTTAAATGTGATCCAGACCTCAGCTACGCAGCATGGATACATGGGCCAGGGAGGGAAAATGGACTGAAGCTCCCACCCTCCCACCCCACCCCACCCCTATCCCATCCAAAACTCACTTCCCACTGGGCACAGACGTCATTTCAACGTCTATTTACGTGGAAACAACATTGATTCAACCAGTGTGTTCCCAGCGGGTTGATTGTCTGCGGAGGGAGGGATGGAGGGATGGAGGGAGGAGGGAGGGGAGAAAGAGGACATGTGATAGAGAGAGGGAGGGAGGAAGGAGGGAGGGATGGAGAGATGTGATAGAGAGAGAGGAGATGTGATAGAGAGAGGGAGGAGGGAGGGAGGAGGAGATGTGATAGAGAGAGAGGAGATGTGATAGAGAGAGAGAGGGAGGAGGGAGGGAGAGGAGATGTGATGAGAGAGAGGGAGGGAGGGAGGGAGGGAGGGAGGGAGGGGAGATGTGATTAGAGAGAGGGAGGAGGGAGGGAGGGAGAGGAGATGTGATAGAGTGAGAGAGGGGGAGGGAGGGAGAGGAGGGAGGGAGGGGAGATGTGATAGGGAGGGAGGGAGGGAGGATGTGATAGAGAGAGCGGGAGCGGGAGATGTGTAGGGAGAGAGGGATGTGATAGGAGAGAAGGAGGGAGAGGGATAGAGGAGAGGGAGGGAGGGAGGGAGGGAGGGAGGGAGGGGAGGGAGGGAGGGAGGGAGGGAGGGAGGGAGGGAGAGGATGAGAGAGAGAGGGAGGAGGAGGGAGAGGAGAGGTGATGAGAGAGGAGGGAGGGAGGGGAGGGAGGGAGAGAGAGTGAGAGAGGGAGAGGGAGGAGGGAGGGAGGAGGGAGAGGGAGGGAGATGTGATAGAGAGAGGGAGGGGGAGGGAGGGAGGGAGGGAGAGGATAGATGGAGAGAGGGAGGAGGGAGGGAGGGAGGAGGATGAGGAGAGGGAGGGAGGAGTGATAGGAGAGAGGGGAGGGGAGAGTTAGGATGAGAGAGGGAGGGAGGAGGGAGGGAGGGAGGAGGAGGGAGGGAGGGAGGGGAGGGAGGAGAGGAGGAGGGAGGGAGGGAGGAGAGGGAGGGAGATGGAGAGAGAGAGAGGGAGGGAGAGGAGAGAGAGAGAGAGGGAGGAGGGAGGAGAGGAGAGGGAGAGGAGGAGAGGAGGGAGGAGGAGAGGGAGGGGGAGAGGGAGGAGAGGTGATAGAGAGAGAGAGATGAGAGAGAGAGAGGAGAGAGGAGGGAGACGGAGAGAGAGAGGAGAGAGAGAGAGGAGAGAGAGAGATGACGAGAGAGAGAGAGAGAGAGAGAGAGGAGAGAGAGAGAGAGGAGAGACGGGAGAGAGAGGAGAGAGAGAGAGAGAGGAGAGAGAGGAGAGAGAGAGAGAGAGAGATCTACTGTTTCGCAGTATGAGGCGTCATTCTGCCAGATGCAAATGACCTTGAAATGTGAGACGTGGTTGGTTTCCCCTCCTTCCCGTAATGGATACTTGCATCTCCTCTGAGGTCTGTCTAAAGACATAATGACTGGAACTATCAGGAACTAATCAGTGGTTCCATTAAATATCTTCTGGAGACATCACGGCAGGATAGTTTTACTGAGGTTCAATTAAAGTGTATTTTTCATCATTTACATTTCAGTTTAATTTAATGATTTAAAAAGAGACAAACACACAACAAGCTAGTTCATGATTAAAATACACTTTAGTCACGTGACCATAACAAGACATGACCTATAACATGATTAGAAGTGCCTGCTGATTCTTAGAAGGAATCCCTGATCTTAGACCTCCAAGCCTTAGCCCTCTCAAACCCATTGGTCCCTGTGCTGTAGTCCCTGATTGCCTGGTTGATCTCCTCTTCTGTGTTCATCACAAACGGACCTGGAGAGAAAGAGGAAGGTGTAGTGTGTCACATCACACAAGAACAATACAATATTGTGGTAACTGAGTTCAGTAACGTAAAAAAATGAAGGACTTTACCATGTTGGACCACCGGTTCATTGATCGGCTGTCCCGCAATCAAGACAAAATGGGAGACCTCTGATGTCTGGAGAAAGGAATTTGAGTTGTAGTGAATTTGCAATTCCTGAAAACTGTGTTAAGAGTCAGACCCACTGTAAGGAGCTCAGATACCCTACCTTGTTTTCTACTGCTATACAGTCTCCATCATCAAACACTATGGTGTGATGTGGCTCCACCTTCTGCTGCTCTGCTTCTGGGCCTGAAAGAGCAATGGAAAAACAGAATACAACTCTACACATGGCCCCTGGCTGAAAATGGCTTGGGATGAAAAAATTGATTATTACCTCAAATGAAATGGCAAACAATGCAACTTTAATTCAGATTTTAACCTGAGGGGAAAAACTGAAATCAAGAACCAAAGAAAATGTGCATTTTCTCTCCGTATACGTTTCTGACCTGGTTAAGTCTGCTTCCTTCGTCTGAATAATATGTTCAAAAGAAATGCTGAAATGCCAAACGCTTCAAGTTGTGGTGGATATATTTATCAGACACATCTGTGCTTGATTTGCCTTTCAGACTACACTCTGTCGATTCAGTGGCATCTCGGTTCAAACCCACTTTAATCTTAGTTAAAGCGAACGGTTCAACTTTCTTCTGTTTTGAAAAAACATCTGACTATAATTAAAAGGAGCTTTACGTGAGATCCTACAAAGCAACGATTCACTTTAATCAGATCATAATGCAACTTCCTGTAGAAATAAATATCAAATATGTATGAAATGTAATAAAAACACAAAGCCTTTCTAAATGAGTGAAGAGAGTTGAATGACTCCTTCTCATGCTAGGTAACATATTTTATAATGAAAATATAATGCTCCTACTCAAATATGTGTTTCCATTGACAAACTTTAAAAGACTTCAGCATAACAACATTTTTACATATGAAAAAGGACAGGCCTAATATGTCCTGTATAAGAAAACACTGTAGGGAACAGTTTAACTCTGTATGGCAGGGTGTCACAGTGCTGTAGGTGAAACCAATTGCTAGAGATATAGTACCATAAGATATACACTACCAGTCAAACGTTTTAGAACACCCACTCATTCAAGGGTTTTTCTTAATTTTTACTATTTTCTACATTGTAGAATAATAGTGAAGACATCAATACTATGAAATAACACATATGGAATCAGTATGAAAAATGTATGCACTCACTAACTGTAAGTCGCTCTGGATATCTGAGTTCCAGTGTGATTTTGTCCCATTCCTAATGCATTCCTAGAGTTGCTATTGGCTTCAGATCACAAGGCTACTCCCAACTTTGACATGACATCCCAGAGAGGACGGAGGAGAGGAGGAAAGGGAAAATAATGAAATAAATGCACCTGCTCTGTTTGATTGTCCCCCTCTCTGGACGAGAGACAGCAACGAGACGCAGTGTTTCTGAAACACTACCAAACACAACACTGTTCTGGATGACCATCAACACGAGGCTTTAGGGCAGTTAGGACCTAATGGAAAACTGTTGAAGAGAAACTAAAGAGAGGTAACTCACCAACACATACAGATCCTGCCAGTGTGTAGATAAACGTGGTCCATCCTAGCAGAGATGATTAAAAAAAACAGAGAAAACTAGAGACTCAAACACCAAAGGGCAACATATCTTCCCTGACCTTACGCTGTTTTGGGCTGGCATTGCTAATGCATTTTGTCGCCTCATTAACAAGTTAACTGCCACAGTCATGACATCTATAATCTGTTATATTCTTGGTGGGGGAGTCTGGTACACCAATGTCTTGCCATGTGAGCTGTGGGCCGTAACAGTGAGATTGTCTAATATCTAATCCACCACATGGCCCTGTAGTACGATGACGTGGGAGCCATCCATTCAACACACCAACACACACACACACACACACACTGAGTAAAGGACTACTTAACGCCTTACGTATAGTGTGACCAGATTCCATAGACAACCACACAGCACCACTGACTCCATAGACAACCACACAGCAGCACCACTAACTCCATAGAGAATCACGCAGCACCACTGACTCCATAGAGATCAGGCAGAGTGACCAACCCCTGGAGACTCCCAACCCCTGGAGGACTTCTGTTTGTCACGGACAGTAGATAGCATCTCTCTCCCACCACAAACCAACGTCAGGTACAGTACAGTTCCCAGAATGAGAAAGCTTGTGTCATACAAACCACACAGCACTTAGCTAGGGTTGGAGTTGAAAGCTTCTGCTAACTTTAGTGAAAAGGTTAACAGATTTGTTTGCCAGATTGTGGATGAATTCTAATGGGGCACACAGAACACTATAGCTACAGTAGGTCAAGCTCTGGTCCATGGTGTTACATGCAGCTTGAGCCTTCTTCAAGGAGCACGTAACGCCCTGGACCAGAGCCGCAGAAGGCCTATTCAGTAAAGATGGTTCTTACCTGAAGGAACTGGTTGTACATGCTTGGCACCTCCATCCAGCTTGAAGTCCAGGAACAATGTTGGAGTCCTGGTGAAGATTTTTGACTGGACAAAAAAAGGACAAGACATTTATAGTATTTCTGAGTTTCATTGACCCCAACATTCCAGGCAGCACCCCACTCACTGAGTTATCTCATGGGCATGGAGTGTTACAAACAGAACACTATTTATTGCTGTATGTTATTTGTATAAATTCTTCGTCTATATACCCTGTCTGCAAATTCTGCGAGACAGGCACCTAGCAGCCTGATCCGTTGGTGTTACCTTTCACACTTCCTATTTTAACACCTAGCAGCCTGATCCGTTGGTGTTACCTTTCACACTTCCTCTTTTAACACCTAGCAGCCTGATCGTTGGTGTTACCTTTCACACTTCCTCTTTTAACACCTAGCAGCCTGAATCCTTGGTGGTTACCTTTCAACACTTCCTCTTTAACACTAGCAGCCTGATCCGTTGGGTTTGTTACCTTTCACACTTCTATTTTAAACACTAGCAGCTGATCCGTTGGTGTTACCTTTCACACTTCCTCTTTTAACACCTAGCAGCCTGATCCTTGGTGTTACACCTTTTCACTAGGCTTCTTTTTATTACACCTAGCAGCCTGATCCTTGGTGTTACTTTCACACTTCCTCTTTTAACACCTAGCAGCCTGATCCGTTGGTGTTACCTTTCACACTTCCTCTTTTAACACCTAGCAGCCTGATCCTTGGTGTTACCTTTCACACTTCCTCTTTTAACACCTAGCAGCCTGATCCGTTGGTGTTACCTTTCACACTTCCTCTTTTAACACCTAGCAGCCTGATCCGTTGGTGTTACCTTTCACACTTCCTATTTTAACACCTAGCAGCCTGATCCGTTGGTGTTACCTTTCACACTTCCTATTTTAACACCTAGCAGCCTGATCCGTTGGTGTTACCTTTCACACTTCCTCTTTTAACACCTAGCAGCCTGATCCGTTGGTGTTACCTTTCACACTTCCTCTTTTAACACCTAGCAGCCTGTCCGTTGGTGTTACCTTTCACACTTCCTTTTTAACACCTAGCAGCCTGATCCGTTGGTGTTACCTTTCACACTTCCTATTTTAACACCTAGCAGCCTGATCCGTTGGTGTTACCTTTCACACTTCCTATTTTAACACCTAGCAGCCTGATCCGTTGGTGTTACCTTTCACACTTCCTATTTTAACACCTAGCAGCCTGATCCGTTGGTGTTACCTTTCACACTTCCTATTTTAACACCTAGCAGCCTGATCCGTTGGTGTTACCTTTCACACTTCCTATTTTAACACCTAGCAGCCTGATCCGTTGGTGTTACCTTTCACACTTCCTATTTTAACACCTAGCAGCCTGATCCGTTGGTGTTACCTTTCACACTTCCTATTTTAACACCTAGCAGCCTGATCCGTTGGTGTTACCTTTCACACTTCCTCTTTTAACACCTAGCAGCCTGATCCGTTGGTGTTACCTTTCACACTTCCTCTTTTAACAACTAGCAGCCTGATCCGTTGGTGTTACCTTTCACACTTCCTATTTTAACACCTAGCAGCCTGATCCGTTGGTGTTACCTTTCACACTTCCTATTTTAACACCTAGCAGCCTGATCTGTTGAAATGCAGGAAACTTGCTTTAAAACAGCAGCACTTTGTCTCTGCGGCCAAGAAGAGGGCCTCTAAAACCGCACCATTGGCCAAGCCCACTACCACTCCCCGGGTTATGGTTATGGTTAGTATGGTGCTCCTCACCTGTACCCCCAGGGTTATGGTTATGGTTAGTATGGTGCTCCTCACCTGTACCCCCAGGGTTATGGTTAGTATGGTGCTCCTCACCTGTACCCCCCAGGTTATGGTTAGTATGGTGCTCCTCACCTGTACCCCCCCCGGGTTATGGTTAGTATGGTGCTCCTCACCTGTACCCCCAGGGTTATGGTTAGTATGGTGCTCCTCACCTGTACCCCCAGGGTTATGGTTAGTATGGTGCTCCTCACCTGTACCCCCAGGGTTATGGTTGGTATGGTGCTCCTCACCTGTATCCCCAGGGTTATGGTTAGTACGGTGCTCCTCACCTGTACCCCCCAGGTTATGGTTAGTATGGTGCTCCTCACCTGTACCCCCCCGGGTTATGGTTAGTATGGTGCTCCTCACCTGTACCCCCAGGGTTATGGTTAGTATGGTGCTCCAAACCTGTACCCCCAGGGTTATGGTTATGGTTAGTACGGTGCTCCTCACCTGTACCCCCAGGGCCTGTCCAGAGATGACGGCCACAGTGACCCCCTCCCTGCTGGGCTTGGGGACCTGGCTGTCCTTCAGCTCCTGGTACTGGGGCTCCACCATCTTGTCCTCCCTCCTCAGGTTGACCCACAGCTGCAGGCCCTGGACGGGCTCCTCAGACACAGGCATCTCAGCATGGACCACCCCCCGGCCTGCCGTCATCCACTGATGATGAGACATGGACACAGACACACAGAGACACACAGAGACGCACACATAAACACACACACACACACACACACACAGAGATACAGAGAGGCATATACACACACATGTACATACACACACACACACACACACACACACAAAACACACAGTTACTAACCACATAAAAGAGGATTGTACTGTATAATATATATGAAATCAATGATGTCTGATATGATTTCCATAATAAACCACCCATGTGGACTTGATACTGGAGCTAACTGGTTTCCAGGTAGTGATTCATGCTTTATAACAGGAGGAAATGAACTGGACATTTACATCTTTCCTTCCCCACTCCTGTGATATGCACCTACTGGATGTCCATTAGTCTTCTCAAAGCTCCACTAACATCAAAACAAGAGGTTGTGTTCTAAATGGGTGCTACTACTTTTGGTCTCGGGGCTAAGTAGTGCACTAACTAGGGTCTAGTGCCCTCAAACTCAACGCTGGGACCTCTAAGCCAGTTCCACTGCATGTTTTCATTGTTCCCCTCTGATCAGGGACTGATTTAGACCTGGGACACCAGGTGTGTGCAATGAATTACAAGGTAAAACAGAAGACCAGCAGGCTCCGGACCTCGTAGGGTCAGAGTTGAGTACCCCTGGTCTAGAGTATAAGGGCTCAGGGAATAGGGGTTTTAGTCAAAAGTAGTGCACTACATAGGGAATAGGGGACCATTTCTGATGCAACTTTACAGTGCCATGAGAGTGATGCAGCGTTGCTGTGGGAAGCTAATTGAGCAATAACACTTAAAGCTTCGTCAGCAGCTTTCCTCTCCTGTTCCACTGTGAGGAAACCCATCCGCCCCAGGTTAGTAACTACCACTCCACTCCACACACACACACACACACACACACACACACACACAAACACACACACACACACACACACACACACACACAAACACACGGATGACTACAAGATACTTGGTATTTTGGTATTTTATTAGGATCCCCATTAGCTTTTGCGAAAGAAGCAGCTACTCTTCCTGGGGTACACACAGAACATGAAACATGACATAATTTAGTCTCCTCAACTTGTTCAACAACCACACCATTCATTACCAGATTCAGCTGAGGTCTATAACTTAAGGAATGATTTGTACCAAATACAATGCTATTAGTTTTAGAGATGTTCAGGGCCAGTTTATTACTGGGTTTCAGTGACTTCATTAGCTGTGGTTGCTGATGCGTATATGGTTGACTCATCAGCATACCTGGACACACATGCTTTGTTTAATGCCAGTGGCATTAGTGTCTATTTAATGCCTATTAAACCCACTCCCTGGTTGTTGCTGACTTACTAACCAGGGACAACCAGGGAAAACTGCTTTACGACTGCTGCATGGGGAAACACAGGAAATGCCCTGAAGGCACGATCCTTCATTAGTTCTGGTGGGAGTGTGGGGAAGTGTAGGAACCTACATACAGTACTGTGTGTGTCACAATATGTTTCTCTACCTGTAAATCCCCTGGTTTCAGTAGTCCAGAGTGGCCACAGAAATCCTCATGGGCCGAAACGCCTTTCAAAAGGTACGTCACCTAAACAAAGGCAAAATAGATCAGAATATGTTCACAAACCCATATGCAAATCCAACTGCTTACACACGTTTTCAAAACGATGTCTCCTTTTTTCAAAACTCTACACACAATTCCCAAAACTGCACACACAAAATGCAAAAATGCCTCACATCTCCTTCAAAATGTAACACTGCATTCAAAATGCCATAGACACATGTCAGAATGAAGCATTTGCATCAAATGGCAAACACTTATTTCATAATAGTACATTTTTGGATATACCATGTAAACACTGTTGTTCTAAATCTAAAGCTCTTTGGTCTTTCATAGGCTTATATCTACATTTCAATACAATGTTCTACAGCGAAAGTAATCTGCTGAGAGGGGTAACAAGTACACTGTAAATACCAATGCAATGTAGAAACAGAAAATATTTATTAGGCCAAACATTACTGTTGTATACAGTAGCATACAACAAAACCATAAACATATGTAAACCAAAAGTATATTATTTAGAATACAGTAAAGAACAGGGGGGGGGGGGGGGGGGGGGGGGCCAACCAGTTTTGGACCAGAACAGCCCGGGGAAAAATAACATTGTCCCATATAACCACAAATCTAGCAGGCTCCTGATCTGGATCAGGGAGAAGCATTGAGTAAATTGCATCCAGAAAAGTGAGCATATGGCCGGTGTTGTACGGACCCAGTGTGGCATTGTGATGGAGGACCCCGTTTTGAGTGATGGCAGCACACATAGTTATATTACCCCCACGCTGTCCAGGGACATTGGTAATTGCCCTCTGTCCTATTACATTTCTTCCGCGTCGCCTGGTTTTGGTGAGGTTGAAGCCAACCTCATCCACATAAATAAATTAATGGCGAATTACATGGGCATCCATCTCCAATACTCTCTGTAACAGACAAAAGGATATACAGATGAGTAAATATGGTATGTCTGAAGTACTGGAAATATGGTGTCATTATTCAAGATAGGCTCTCTTATCTTTCGAATCCTAATTGCATTGTTGGCCAAAACCATACTTATAATTGCAGTCTCTTGTACATCTGTAAACAAGCGTCCTCGTCCTCCATGATGTCTTTGCCTTTCCACTCTGTACAGAATTCAAACACAGTATGTGTTCAGCATAGGAACTGTAAACTGCACCATCGAGAGCATCCTGACTGGTTGCATCACCGCCTGGTATGGCAACTGCTTGGCCTCTGACCGCAAGGCACTACAGAGGGTAGTGCGTACGGCCCAGTACATCACTGGGGCCAAGCTTCCTGCCATCCAGGACCTCTACACCAGGCGGTGTCAGATGAAGGCCCTCAAAATTGTCAAAGACTCCAGCCACCCTAGTCATAGACTGTTCTCTCTGCTACCGCACGGCAAGCGGTACCGGAGTGCCAAGTCTAGGTCCAAAAGACTTCTCAACAGCTTCTACCCCCAAGCCATAAGACTCCTGAACAGCTAATCATGGCTACCCGGACTATTTGCACTGCCCCCCCACCCCATCCTTTTTACGCTGCTGCTACTCTGTTAATTATTTATGCATAGTCACTTTAACTCTACCCACATGTACATATTACCTCAACTACCTCAACTAGCCGGTGCCCCCGCACATTGACTCTGCAACGGTACCCCCCTGTATATATAGCCTCCCTACTGTTACTTTATTTTACTTCTGCTCTTTTTTTTCTCAACACTTTTTTTGTTGTTGTTTTATTTGTACTTTTTTTGTTAAAAATAAATGCACTGTTGGTTAAGGGCTGTAAGTAAGCATTTCACTGTAATGTCTGCACCTGTTGTATTCGGCGCATGTGACCAATACAATTTGATTTGATTTGATTTTAAACAATGTACAAAAAAATTTAGTACAGCATGATAACCAACCTCATTCATTCAATGCAGTGCAGTAACTGGATGGCTTAGAGTTACAAATGTTTATGCAATACTATGCAGTCATAAGTATTTTACAGTACATTACTGTAATGCTAAAATAGTAATTAGATAGTTGCATACCTGTTCTCATTTCTGAAGGTTCGAATTATGGACGCCACTGTAAATCGACTCAAGTTGGGCTGGACTCTCAGTCCAGCCTCTCTCATGGTCAAACCGTGGTTGATCACATGATCAACAAGTGTTGCTCTAATCTCATCAGAGATGGCTCTCCTTCCTTCTCTTCTTTGCCCTCGTCCTCTTCTTCCTCTTCCTTCTACTCCTCCTCCTCCTCTTCCAACTCTTCGTCTTTGAATTTGTCCTCGTTGTTGTCTCCTGCCTCTCCCTCCTACTCCTCTTGCTCTCTGTCCATTGTTGGCATCCATTGTTCAAAACAGGTAATCTGACCTTTGACCTATTTATAGGCCTATACTACAGTAAAGCAGTGATTGGCACATGTGAGGAGTGTGTGTGTGACCTGGTGAATAAGTGTAGCATTTTGATTGGATGTGTTTGGAAAAGGAAAGTCACTTCCTGTTAGATTTTTGTGTTTTAGGTAGAGAATTGTGTGTAGTGTTTTGAAAAAAGTGTTTTATGCAATTGACAACTGAGTCAAAGACTGAGAAATAGCTAATGATTTTGGAGATTTGGTTTGTAGTTTTTCACTTTGAGTGAGAGGTTTCTGTCACGCCCTGGCTCTGGGGACTCTTAAATGTTGAGCCAGGGTGTGGAGTTTCTATGTCATATTTTATATGTTGTGTTTTCTAGATCGTGTTGATCTATGTTGGCCAGGGTGGTTCCCAATCAGAGGCAGCTGTATCTCGTTGTCTCTGATTGGGGACCATACTTAGGCAGCCTGTTTGGCACTAGTCGTGTGGGATCTTGTTCCGTTAAGGTTTGTTTTGTGTAACCTAGGACTTCACGTTTCGTTTGTTTGTTGTTTTGTCGTGAGTTAAGTACTTAATAAAATGTACGCTTATCACGCTGCGCCTTGGTCCGTATCTTCCGTAAACGATCGTGACAGTTTCAAAAATCGTGTGACATGAAAATATTTTGTGTGTAAGCAGTTGGAAAAAACTGTAATATAAGAGTTGAGAGGCAAAACACAACATTAACTGTGAATACCAACCAATGGAAAACAACTTTCTCTAAGTCTTTGCCAATTGAGGTTGAGGTTAGGAAAGAGATGAATGATTCTCAGTTGTAAACATTAATGGTTTCAGAAGGGAATCTCCTCGGAAATCACTCCATAAAGCTTGGAAGACTGGAAAACATGGTATGGTAAAGAAGTTATTTCATATTTTTCCTCATGTAAGTCGAACAGATGAAATATGTACTGTGTGTGTGTGTGTGTGTGTGTGTGTGTGTGTGTGTAATGCAGTGTTCGTCAAGCAGGACAGACAAGAGTCTACAAGGCACTAGCTGGCCACTACAGGACAAGAGCACGTGTTCACTCTGTGTCCATTCCACTCCCACATCAAACCGGACAGGAAGCAGAAAGCTATAGAGGTTAGAGGTAAACATCTGTCTCTCAGCGAGGCTTCCCAACCTCCAGCCGAGGGGGAGAGAGCCTCTCTCTGTGATCTGGCAGCGCACGTGGCTATGAGCTCTGAGATGTGACCGTGAGCCAACACACCTGCTGCACGGCATGCTGGGCCATGGGCGCTTCAGCCACGCCCCCGTCAGGTCTGGTCCAGTCCGCGGCCAGTTGGACACTAAACTACACATCTACAGTATCAGCTGGGCCTATGGCCTCATCTGGTCTGGGCCATGGTGGACACTAGGCTAGGTTACACATGCATCTACAGTATCAAACACAGGCCAAGACTTTTCTATTAAAACCACTTGTTTTGGCTCTATAAATTCCCACTGTGGGCCAGTGGCTTTATGGTTGAGGAAACCATGATTCACCAACACCACTTAAAAAGCAGAAGCATAATTTCCTTCCTCCCCTCTTTGTCTAAATATGTGTAATTGGTTTTCATTAAAACCCAATATCCAAAAGCATGTTAATGCTATGTATAACAAACCTATTGAGAAGCTTTTTCTGGACGAGGCATACAGTACAGTAGGTCTGTTAGTGCCATCTACTGGCGTTAGCAGGAAGTGCATTAATGGCGTATGTGCCTCACCCTCCCTCATCATTAATGGTGTATGTGTCTCACCCTCCCTCATCATTAATGGTGTATGTGCCTCACCCTCCCTCATCATTAATGGTGTATGTGCCTCACCCTCCCTCAACGGCCTCATATGAACCTGTTATTCCACATGACGGTCCAATCTGCCAGGGGATTAGTCAGAACACAACACTGTATCACTCTAGACAGAGAAAGAGACAATAGATGCTGCATCACGCTAGCTAAACAGACAGAGAGAGAGAGAGAGCAAGAGAGCGAGAGAGAGAGAACAGATAGCCTACTCACGGTCTCAAATCCTCTGTGAGGGTGATCAGGGAAGCCAGCAGGCTTTGCGACTTTGAACTCATCCAACATCAAGAAAGGATCCAGGTTCTTCAGCTGAAATAAATGGATGGACAAGATATCAACCTACCATGTCATAATAAGTGGTTTAGTTCGGTATTGTAATAGGACGATATTATTAAACATGCTAAACTAAGCAGATGTAACTTACCTCCTTTCTTCCTATACTCCTGCGGACACGGGCTCCCATACCTTCTGCCTGCTCCACACTCAAAACTGTCTTCACAACTCTTCTTATCCTCATTGTAGAGGATAGGGTTATTACCCAGTAGTACCTTATTTATTATGGTACACCTTGAACAGAAATACTGAAGAATAAGGGAAAAATAACTGCATTGAATATAGCCTAAACCTTCAAATACCCACCATTATTGTTCAATGTCAATACCCAAACACCACGTCAATACCAAACACCATAACGAGTGTTATTAGATGTTACAATATTGCTTATTTTGCTAATCCCTTTATTGGGATAATATGGAGTAAAAAGACAACATGACAGAACAATACCAGCATCGGTCTCTAGATAGGATACATGAAGTTTAGCGGACTAAACTCCACTCCATGGTGAAGGAAAACTTTAGTCCGATACATGAAACTTTAATGTCACTAACCTGGCAGAAGTTGGATGTGGAGTCAACGAGACTAATTTACTCCGAATAACAACTACAATCAGACAAGCATGTAATGTAGGCTATCAAATCCTCCAAGTGTGTAGGCAACAACAGAATTACAAGGCTATCATCTTCCAAGCGCAGTCATTTGTTTTCGTGGTTGCCAGCCCCGCCCCTGTCGCGCAGGTACGGACATGAAGGGCGTGGCTTAACCGCGAGGGATTCGTTTGAAGAAAGAAAAGAGGGGGGAGGCAGCTGAATCCATGATCTATCGCTGCGTAAATCTCCCTTTAATCATAACCACATCAGCCCGTGCATCTGTTGAATATAATCTTCGGTCTGTGTTCTCTCCACGGTGGTTTGTGTCCCTGTCCCTTCGTCTCCACTCTGGCTGTGCTGGGATACAATGTCCTTCGCGATGCGCGCGCTTGCCGCCTGTCCTCCTGCCAGATTCAGCGCGTGCGGACCAACCTGTTCGTGATAACAAAGACGAGAATACAGCTGAGTCACACTGACTGTACAGTAGTCAAACCAACTGACTGAGTCACACTGACTGTACAGTAGTCAAACCAACTGACTGAGTCACACTGACTGTACAGTAGTCAAACCAACTGACTGAGTCACACTGACTGTACAGTAGTCAAAACCAACTGACTGAGTCACACTGACTGTACAGTAGTCAAACCAACTGACTGAGTCACACTGACTGTACAGTAGTCAAACCAACTGACTGAGTCACACTGACTGTACAGTAGTCAAACCAACTGACTGAGTCACACTGACTGTACAGTAGTCAAACCAACTGACTGAGTCACACTGACTGTACAGTAGTCAAACCAACTGACTGAGTCACACTGACTGTACAGTAGTCAAACCAACTGACTGAGTCACACTGACTGTACAGTAGTCAAACCAACTGACTGAGTCACACTGACTGTACAGTAGTCAAACCAACTGACTGAGTCACACTGACTTGACAGTAGTCAAGAGTGGGCTACACATAACCAACTGACTCGATCGACTGTGGACATTGATAATAGGCACACCAAGTACCCTAGAAAAGAGATTCTCACGTAGGCCTACGCCCTTTACAGACATGTTTAGTAGGTATTTGCAGTCTATATTTCAGGGCCTATAAAGAAAATAAAAGTTTATAAACATATCAAAAGGCTATCCCTCCTCTCCTGCGTTTTTGCCAACACATTGGGTTATCCCACCACTCCAAACCCAGAAGAGCGACTTTTATTTGAATCCTTATGGGCTTTTTTCTTTAGATGTGTCTGTCAATTCTTTGACAAATTCCCTGCCATGTGAATGAAATATTCTCCCTCTGACGTTCCATTCTATAATTTTCTACAAAATGTTTTCATTGTGTGATTAGCAAAAAATACCTGAAGTGCTGCGTACTGTCCCATCAGGTACAGAGGACAGCCTGGAGCCCACTGCAAGCTCTCAGATATACAAGGCCAGCCATCCAGGACCTACAGGTGAGACAGGTTGTAATTAGACTTGGATTGAGTGCAGGTAACTGTAGGATAGTAGTATAATATAGTATAGTCGTAGCCCATAATACAGTAGTATAGTAGAATCCTATAGTATAGTAGTATACTAGTATACTAGTATAGTAGTATTGTAGTGTAGTATAGTATATTAGTATAGTGTAGTAGTATAGTAATTTTGTGGACACTGATTATATTAAAGATACATAAAAGATCCTTGCAGAGGTTGAGATATGATATGATAGCAGCACACCTGAATAGGGAATTCCTTGATGACCGAAGAGAGCATAGGGTCTTGATTGACGTCCAGTTTACATCCTGTAGCCAGCCATATCCTGTCCCCAGTCCAGGACTCACAGCCATTCTGTCCACACAGCGACAGTCTCCACACCTGGCTTTCATAGCACCACTTAGCTTCAGTCACCTGTAGAACACAACAGGTCATGAATTCATAACCACCGTTCACCTGAAAACCTTGGCTCTATGTTTTTTTTTTAATGTTCAAACTGAAGGTGGGGGGGGGGGGGGCAATAGCAGTAGAAAGGGTGGACAGGGGTTGTGTGTGCCTGGGGGTCGCAGTAGTATTAATATTATTTATATCTATTTACCTAGCAGTATTATTCGGACTAGTAGTATTACAATATTATAATTATTTTTGTACCTGGCAGTATGCTCGGACAGCCAGCTGTCCAGTCTGGATGTAGGGCTGCAGAGCTGCGTAGGCCTCAGGTGTAACTGCCCCTCCCTTCCTGGCCTGTCTGATCATGGCCAGTCTCCTATGCAGGCTGCTCTCGTTGTAGAACTGACGCAGGTAGGCCAGGCCGTCCATCTTGATACCATGCTCCACATGGGAGTAACGCCCCACCAGGCTTTCCACGTCCCCCACATCAAACTGCTTCAGCTGGGGGAGAGGACCGAGGCAGAGGGGCTTGGTGTTGGAGATCATGGTCAACTACTCTGACTATAACAGACTCTTAACATCAAACTATTTCAGCTATTTCCACCACCACCATCATCACCACCACCACCATCATTACCATCATGATCATCACCACCATCATTACCACCATCATCACCACCATCTTCATCACCACCACCACCACCATCACCACCACCACCATCATCACCACCACCACCACCATCATCACCATAATCACCATCATAATCATCATCATCACCATAATCACCATCATAATCATCATCATAATCATCATCATCATCTTTATCTTTCTGTATCCCTGGTGATGCACCACTTCCTAAGGGGTCCACCACTTGTTTGACGCTGGAGAGCATGGTTGTCTAATCTGTCTATAATGTCAAACTGCGTCAGCTGGGAATGGGAACACACACAGGTAGAGAGGGCTAGTGCTGGAGGGGGATCCTCTGCCCATCTGACAGTTCAACAGATGAGGACGGAGAGATGGTGAGGTGGCGTCATCCCTAGGGTGCTACACATTGGTGGTGGAAGAGGTGAGTTACCCCGTTACTATGTAAAGCGCTTTGAGCACTGGAAAAGTACTATTGAAAAAATCCTATCAATTATTATCATCTTTTTCTTTCTGTACCCCTGGTGAGGCTGAAGAAGAGAGACATGTATAGTTGAAGTCGGAAGTTTACATACACCTTAGCCAAATACATTTAAACTCAGTTTTTCACAATTCCTGACATTTAATCCTAGTAAAAATTCCCCTGTTTTAGGTCAGTTAGGATCACAACTTTATTTTAAAAATGTGAAATGTCAGAATAATAGTAGAGAGAATTATTTATTTCAGCTTTTATTTCTTTCATCACATTCCCAGTGGGTCAGAAGTTTACATACACTCAATTAGTATTTGGTAGCATTGCCTTTAAATTGTTTAACTTGGGTAAAACGTTTTGGGTAGCCTTCCACAAGCTTCCCACAATAAGTTGGGTGAATGTTGGCCTTTTCCTCCTGACAGAGCTGGTGTAACTGAGTCAGGTTTGTAGGCCTCCTTGCTCGCACACGCTTTTTCAGTTCTGCCCACAAATGTTCTATAGGATTGAGGTCAGGGCTTTGTGATGGCCACTCCAATACCTTGACTATGTTGTCCTTAAGCCATTTTGCTACAACTTTGGAAGTATGCTTGGGGTCATTGTCCATTTGGAAGACCCATTTGCGACCAAGCTTTAACTTCCTGACTGATGTCTTGAGATGTTGCTTCAATATATCCACATCATTTTCCTTCCTCATGATGCCATCTATTTTGTGAAGTGCACCAGTCCCTCCTGCAGCAAAGCACTCCCACACCATGATGCTGCCACCCCGTGCTTCACGTTTGGGATGGTGTTCTTCGGCTTGCAAGCACCCCCTTTTTCCTCCAAACATAACGATGGTCATTATAGCCAAACAGTTCTATTTTTGTTTCATCAGACCAGAGGACATTTCTCCAAAGAGTACGATCTTTGTCCCCATGTGCAGTTGCAAACCGTAGTCTGGGTTTTTTATGGCGGTTTTGGAGCAGTGGCTTCTTCCTTACTGAGCGGCCTTTCAGGTTATGTCGATATAGGACTCGTTTTACTGTGAATATAGATACTTTTGTACCTGTTTCCTCCAGCACTCAGTCCTTTGCTTTGTCTGGGAGATTGCTTTCCACCAAAATTCTCTCAGGGACAAAGTCCTCTTCCTAGTTGCTTGCGTGGAGTGTGTTATTTGCACTATTTTGACATTCGGAAATTGCTCCCAGGATGGAACCAAACTAGTGGAGGGTCTACAATTTATTTTCTGAGGTCTTGGCTGATTTCTTTTCATTTTCCCATGATGTCAAGCATAGAGGCACTGAGTTTGAAGGTAGGCGTTTAAATACATCCACAGGTGTCAAATGATGTCAATTAGCCTATCAGAAGCTTCTAAAGTCATGACATCATTTCCTGGAATTTTCCAAACTGTTTAAAGGCACAGTCAACTTAGTGTATGTAAACTTCTGACCCACTGGAATTGTGATACAGTGAATTATAAGTGAAATAATCTGTCTGTAAACAATTGTTGGAAAAATTACTTGTGTCATGCACAAAGTAGATGTCCTAACCGACTTGCCAAAACTATAGTTTGTTAACAAGAAATTTGTGGAGTGGTTGAAAAACAAGTTTTAATGACTCCAACCTAAGTGTATGTAAACTTCCGACTTCAACTGTATGTGGGGTTGTGCTGGATATCTGTGCACACCGCATCCTGTTCAAGCTAGATACACCACTTCCTGAGTTTCTCTAGGTCAACCACTAGCTATAAAAGTCTAGTGGAAAAAGGAGTGGCTTAAATGAATAGAAATGACTGTTATAAAAAGAGGAAAGAAAGTGAGGTAGTGTTGTTGTGGCATCCTGCATGTTGCAGTTGTTTGCATTCGAGCCGCCACAGTATAAGAGAAGACCTGCTGGAGACATTGATGCTGAAGATCTGCTAGACTTGTGAGTGACTGTGGTAGCGCTACATACAAGCTGGGGAGCTAGGAATGCATGTTACCCTTTACTAAAGGCGTTGTGTGGACGTGTGGACGTGTCTCCAACTGGCACATCAACAACTTATTTTCACATTTTTTCCCAGGTAATTTCTGTGAATATGAGCCAATCTCACTGAATGGTGTGTTCAGACTGATAGTGCAGCCTTAGTTTCCCCCTACTGTAGATCACTGTAATGCACAAAGGAATATGTTAGCAAACTTACTCTGAGAGCCCTGTCTGGAAATGGGATGTGTTTGAAGAGTATATTGTTTAAAACAATATGTCTTAAAATGAACCAAATCAAAAAGGGTACTTTTGAGATATTAATAATATTCGTTTTAATGTTGAATAAATTCATGTGTAAAAAGGTTTTGCACAATATTGCCATACTCCATATTTTAGAGCACACTGTAAGAGTATAATGGCACCAAGATGTCGTCTGTATCATGTACGTTCACAGATCATAGGGTCTGTATCATGTACGTTCACAGATCATAGAGTCTGTATCATGTACGTTCACAGATCATAGAGTCTGTATCATGTACGTTCACAGATCATAGAGTCTGTATCATGTACGTTCACAGATCATAAGGTCTTACAGGAGGCATGTATAGGTCTAAGAAGGGCCTAAAATGGCCACTTTCATCATGATTTTCAAAACAATGGTTTGTGTAAAAAGCATGTCAAACATCCTTGATCCTCCCAATGAAGTTTCTATGTGAGAATTTCCAGAACGATCAAGTTTCCACTTCGGGAGGAAGGAAAGATAATTGGGCCATGACCATAGAGCTAAACAGAAACAGACCTGTAAGTGTTTGCGCATCACCCAGGTCACATGACTGGCTCCTTGCTGCAGAGCGATGGAGATGATGTGAGCGCTGGTCAGGCCTCCACCAACCACCACCACCCTCTGGCCAGGCTCACACACCACATAGGAACCTGCTAGATGGAGACAGAGTTAGTGACACCATGCAGGGTCCTGCTAGATGGAGACAGAGTTAGTGACACCATGCAGGGTCCTGCTAGATGGAGTCAGAGTTAGTGACACCATGCAGGGACCTGCTGGATGGAGACAGAGTTAGTGACACCATGCAGGGTCCTGCTAGATGGAGACAGAGTTAGTGACACCATGCAGGGTCCTGCTAGATGGAGACAGAGTTAGTGACACCATGCAGGGTCCTGCTGGATGGAGACAGAGTTAGTGACACCATGCAGGGACCTGCTAGATGGAGACAGAGTTAGTGACACCATGCAGGGACCTGCTAGATGGAGACAGAGTTAGTGACACCATGCAAGGTCCTGCTGGATGGAGACAGAGTTAGTGACACCATGCAGAGACCTGCTAGATGGAGACAGAGTTAGTGACACCATGCAGGGTCCTGCTAGATGGAGACATAGTTAGTGACACCATGCAGGGTCCTGCTAGATGGAGACAGAGTTAGTGAATCCAGAAAAAGATCGCCCAACACAAATAAGTACTAAGTAAATAAGTGAATTTGTACATATGATCACTCAAACAGATGTCTAGTCAGTGTGATATTATAGTATTGCAGCGTTTGGCTTGACAGCAGGTAATGGCCGGCAGGGGATGTAGCTCAGTTGGTAGAGCATGGCGTTTGCAACGCCAGGGTTGTGGGTTCGATAAAATAATGTATGTGCTAACTGTAAGTCGCTCTGGATAAGAGCGTCTGCTAAATGACTAAAATGTAAAATGTAAATGTAATGTACTGTCACCTCTACACCAGGTGCATTATGGTACAGTGTCATGTAATGTCACCTCTACACCAGGAGAGGGCATTATAGTACAGTGTCATGTAATGTCACCTCTACACCAGGAGAGGGCATTAGGGTACAGTATCATCTGGAGACTTATGGTCCATCTAAACAGATGTGTTACTTCTATAGCTTTCAATACCAGAGGATACTCATCTCAACCTACCTGATGAGAGAGAAGAAGAACTCTCTTCCTGTTCCTGGTTCTGGCTTCCTGGTTCCTGTTGCCGTGCTGACCGTGAGGCGGGGTGGTGGTGCATGAGCTGCACAGTGTGCTGCAGGCGTTCCTCAGGGTAGCTCTCCGCTATGGACGACACCCAGGAAGGAATGTTGGCCATATGGGCACGGGTCGGCCCGGTCGCCATGACTACCCGCTGCGCCTCGAGGACGTCCCCATTCTGAAGGAACACCCTGAATGACGTCACAATTCCTTCAGACATCACAGGGGTCAGTCTGTCCACTGTGCCCTTTGTCAGGACACTGTCCAGGCCATATTTGTCCACCTGGATTGAGTATTGTCGTTGTATAGTTATTTTGTTCAGGGGGATTTGTGTTGATGGCTTTTACACTAATAGAGTATATGCACACACATATTACATGATATATCACAAGTTCATAGATTTTAATGAACAACTATATGAGTCCTACAATGTAGCAAGCATTCACCGTAACACTCACATTCACAATCATTAGTAGTAATCAAGTGTATTAGTGCAGGTCTGGAACAAAACCCAGTAGCTGTCCAGGAGGAGGGTTTGTTGGCCACTCCCAGTTAAGGCCCAAGTTCTATTTGTGTCACACAGAGAAGCATCACTGTTATTGCACACTCTGGTGTAGTGGAGGGACTAATGTAGGATATTTAGTATAGTGCTGGGTTGGGGTCAATTCCATTTAAATTCCAATTGGAATTTCAGTTTTCTTCCTGAATTGACTGAATTGAAATGGAATTCACCCCAACCATGGTATGGTGCCTTTTCACTTCAACTCAACTCAAGCCACGGCCAGCGTGCATCTCCATCTCCGACCTGCTGTCTGAAGAAGTCCACACTGAGCCTGGTGCCTGGCAGGCTAAAGTACAGGCTCTTCTGCAGGCCTCTGTTGCTGCTCAGTCTCCTCCTGTCCTTCTTGCCCAGGCGCATGTCGTTGAAGAAGGCGTTCTCATCCAGAATTAAGGTGTGGTCAGGGAGGCAGTGTAGCTCCGCTGTCCGATCGTTCTCCAGGACAAACTCCTGCAAAGCCCTCTGGGGGAAACCAACACAAAGGGATTATAAGCAAAAACAAGTACACTTCCTGAATTGACTGGATTGAAAACTGACTTGACCCCACAACCCGCGTTGTCCAGAAGGAACCGTTCATTCGACCCTACTGCAGGGACCATCACCTTATTGAGTGGGTCTGTGTGCACCAGGGTGTGTGAGCGGAGGTGAGGGATGTTGAGTGCTCTGAACTGGCTCTCCCACAGCGAGGTCCATTCTCCGTATGAGTCCACCACTTTGAAGGCCAGCGGAGGGCAGGATGAGACTGACTGTGGGTCTGGAGTGGCCTGCTCCTCGGGCTCGGCTGACTGCTGTCCTGGGAGATATTAGAGACCTGTCAACCAGATAGCATCACCAGCAGCATGGTGTGAACTGGAGAGACTACAATACAGTCTATAACATGTCTACTTCATGGGCCATTTTCCTGGATGCAAATTAAGCCTACACCTTCAACCTTGACTAAAAAGCACTTCAATGGAGATTTGCTTTTTAGTCTAGAGACTGGGTCTGGGCCCGGCCTGGAGCGTCCTGCTCCTCAGATGGCTGTTGTCCTGGGGATGGGGAGACATTAGAGGCCTGTCAAAAACAGACAGCACTAACAGCATGCTGTACAGTATATGTGTAGAGAGATAGAGAGGAATGTCTCTCCTAACTGAAATCGAGAAAGGCCCGGATGTGAGGAAAAACATCTGTGTGTGTCTACTTTGTGGGCCGACCCAAATCACACCGAGGCGTACCCTCTGACTAACAAAACACTTTTAATAATGATTCACTCTTTAGTCTGGGAATAGGCTAAATCTGGGCCCTTTATGAAAAACCAATGTAAAAACATTGAGCTGTAGTGTAGTTAGCCTTACTGGTAGCTCCTCCTCTCTTGGTCTTAGAGCGGCTGGTCTTGGCCCCGCCCTGGCTGGTAGCTCCTCCTCTCTTGGTCTTAGAGCGGCTGGTCTTGGCCCCGCCCTGGCTGAGCTGGACCCCCTGGAGGATGTCTGTGTTGGGGGGAGGTGGGGACAGGGCCCGGTCTGGACAGGACAGCAGGGTGGCCAGGGTCAGGGCATGGGGCCCTCCACCTATTATCAGGACGTCCAACATCACACGGCTGGCATGAGACACACACGCACAAAGAAAAGTAAAACATTCAAAATCAAATTTAAAAAACATCCTAATCCTTGGTAAACAACAGGTGTGGACTAACAGTGACATGCTGACTTACAGGTCTTTCCCAACAACACAGAGAGAAAGAAAACAGAGAAATCATAGAAAGATAATAACAGGAGGAATAAATCCATAATGACTAACGATAACTTAGCTATATACACGGGGTACCAGTACCTAGTCCATGTGCAGGGGAACGAGGTCATTCAGGTAGATATGTACATATAGGTAGGGGTAAAGTGACTAGTCAACAGGATAGATAATAAACAGTAGCAGCAGCGTATGTGAAGAGTAAAAAGGGTCAATGCAGATAGTCCGGGTAGCTATTTGGTTAACTATTTAACTAACTATTTAGCAGTCTTATGGCTTCCGGGTAGAAGCAGTTCATATAATACACACACACACACACATATGAAGGCATGCACACACACACACACACACATATGAAGGCATGCACACACACACACACACATATGAAGGCATGCACACACACACATGGTCAATCTCTAACTCTCCACCGCGAAGCACAACCGAGCAAAACAGTGAGACTTTTTGAAACCACTAAACCTCTTCCGTTCAGGAAGCTGTGGCAGTTTAACTTGTCTATTGCTGTCAGTATAAGAAAGATAATTCTGATTTCATTAGCTGCCTAGTGCCTACACTACACGCCAACTGCTTCAGATACGTTTTCACTTACCGTTGGCTACTGAGTCATTTAGCCACCTAAAAAGTACCAAGCCAAAGTAAACACATAACAGTACCTCATTGAGCTTTCAGTATCTGTCAACTCAGTTTTTCAAACACAAAAACAAAACACAAAACACAGTACCTTATTAAAAGATTCCAGTATCTGTCAATTAAGTTTGTCAAAATATGCAAAGCCTCTAACAGTCACAGTGTGTCAACAATAAACAGTCAATTTATACTAAGGCTGAAAACACCTAAGGCAGAAAAACAATTTATAGTAAGGCTGAAAACAACAAATACTAAGGCTGAAAATGGTGGTAGTTGTCCCACGGCTAGTCAGGCCTGTAACCCTATCTACCCCAGGCATCTATAGACACAGTGGAGTGTCATTGGCTACAGGGAGGGCTCTCAAAATAGCCTTCCCGTAAAGCAGGGTGGGGTGGGGGGTGTACATTCAGCATCACACTCTCACAGCTCATTACCACTGTTATCTAAACTGACTTGATTCCATTTCCATTTACATTTTAGTCATTTAGCAGACGCTCTTATCCAGAGCGACTTACAGTTAGTGAGTGCATACATTATTTTTCTTTTCATACCGGCCCCCCGTGGGAATCGAACCCACAACCCTGGCGTTGCAAACGCCATGCTCTACCAACTGAGCTACATCCCTACATTTAGTATGATTTAGTATGATATGTTACGTTTCGTATGGTATGTATTAATTTGTGGATGTCCATCATCCATTTCATATGATATGTTACGAATTACAATTTGTTTATGTTACGAATTTGCAAAAAGTATAAAACGTTACGAATTTGCTAAACGTGTGATATGTTACGAATTCTAATTTGTAATGGCTAACGTTAGCTAGGTGGCTAGGTGGCTAACGCTAATGTTAGCTAGCTGGCTAACGTTAGCTGGGCTAGGGGTTAGGGTTAAGGTTAGGGTTAGGGTTAGGGGAAGGGTTAGCTAACATGCTAAGTAGTTGCAAAGTAGCTAAAAAGTCGTAAGTAGTTGAAAAGTTCCTAATTAGCTAAAATGCTAAAGCTAGACGTTGTCCTTATAAAAGCCCACCCATCAACCCCCCTTTCGGTTTTGTCTTAAGTAACCTTCTGTCTTATTTATTTAACTAGGCAAGTCAGTTAAGAACAAATTCTTATTTACAATGACGGCCTACACCGGCCAAACCCGGAAGACGCTGGGCCAATTGTGCGCCGCCCAATCACGGCCGGTTGTGATACAGCCTGGAATTGAACCAGGGGATCTGTGGTGACGCTTCAAGCACTGAGATGCAGTGCCTTAGACCACTGCGCCACTCGGGAGCCCAATGTAGCCAAACGTAACGTATCATACTAATTTGAGTGTCCCAGATTTACATTGACTATGTTACGTCTAGTCTATCAGACCAGGCTGAAACACAGGGTGTATGGTTATGGCAGATGTTTTAATTACAAATAATTAATCACTTTTCAATAAAAGAGAATGGAAGGTTTGACCTGAGTAATCTGTCTAGTACAGTCATCTGACGTGTAGCTTGGTTTAGAATACTCTGACCACAACTCTACCCACTAGGGCTGACTCAGAGATGACCACTACTCTACCCACCAGGGCTGACTCAGAGATGACCACTACTGGCCCCCCGTGGGAATCAAACCCACAACCCTGGCAGTTGCAAGCGCCATGCTCTACCAACTGAGCTACTATTAGGTCATCTCCATGTACGTGATCAGGAACCATCACATGTTGGTCCTGTCTGAATGGGGAAGCACTGAAGTATTCAACAAACAGTACAGCAGGCCGCATCCCAAATGGCACCCTATTCCCTATGTAGTGCACTACCTTGACCAGAACCCTATGGGCCCTAGTTAAAAGTAGTGCACTCCACAGGGAATATGTCCCAAATGGCACCCTATTCCCTAACTCGGCAGGCTAGGTTAATGTAGTACAGGCATAGATGAGTGATAGTCTGGTCTGTGGACACATCTAGGTCTGGTGATCAGGCTGTCAAAAACCATATGAGCAGGTTCTTGTCTTATGGTACAAATCATACAATCCCTCATTCACTGTCCATAGAGAGAATCATTCTACATAAGTATCTAACACACAGACACACTGTGAATGGTCAACATGGTCAAGTTGATCTGGGAGAACCCCATATTTTTTCAGTTGAGATTATGATCTGACTTCCTGTCTGCAGAGTCATCATCTCAGTTCCCCTCTCTGTTTCCTGTTCTAGGCTTTCACATGGAGGTGAAGGACCATGTCTCTGTATTGTGGCAGTGTGTCATTGTGTTTGTTTGTCTGTGTGTGTGTGTGTGTGTGTGTGTGTGTGTGTGTGTGTGTGTGTGTGTGTGTGTGTGTGTGTGTGTGTGTGTGTGTGTGTGTGTGTGTGTGTGTGTGTGTGTGTGTGTGTATGTGTGTATGTGTGTATATGTGTGTGCATATGTTCACTCCCCTGTATGGAGAAACCTTTTATTGTTCAAATCAACATCCCTAATTTTCAGTTCTGTACGTTAATTCAGCGACCACCTGTACCTTCAATGATACAGAATTGCTTCTGCTTTTTTAAATCCCACTTCTGGAAATAACAACGCACTCTATTTTCAAACAGCGAAGGGATGCATTCCAATATGTAAACTGAACTCTAATTGAGCATCATGTCAATAGATGTTTTGAGGAAGCTCAGTCAACCAAAACGTGTGGTAATTTAATGGGTTCACTTCAACAGCCATCTCTATTGTGATGTAATGAGTAATTTCTTCCTGTTGCATCAGGCTACCTGAAGACGTCTGGCAAAGAGCTAGCCTGATTCCAGGTCTGTGTTTGCTGTCTCGCCAAACTGATTCCAGGTCTGTGTTTGCTGTCTCGCTAAACAATGACCGTATGAGTTGGCCTGATGTCACAAAGTTATCTGCGACCATGGTAACATGGAGTTACCGAAGCCACAGATACATTTGAAGTCGGAAGTTTACATACACCTTCGCCAAATACATTTAAACTCAGTTTTTCACAATTCCTGACATTTAATCCTAGTAAAATAATTCCCTGTCTTTGGTCAGTTAGGATCACCACTTTATTTTAAGAATGTGAAATGTCCGAATAATTGAAGAGAGAATTATTTATTTAAGCTTTTATTTCTTTCATCACATTCCCAGTGGGTCAGAAGTTTACATACACTCAATTAGTATTTGGTAGCTGTCACGCCCTGACTCGGGGGACTCTTATTTGTTGAGTCAGGGTGTGTATTTTCTATGTGGTGTAGGTCTATGTTATAAGTCTAGTATGTCTAGATCTATGTTGGCCGGTGTGGTTCCCAATCAGAGGCAGCTGTCGCTCGTTGTCTCTGATTGGGGACCATACTTAGGCAGCCTATTGGCACTAGTGGGTTGTGGGATCTTGTTCTGTATAAGGTTTGTTGTGTTACCTTCGGACTTCACGTGTCGTTAGTTTATTGTTTTTGTTGTGTGTTTATTCGTGAAAATAAACATGTTTGCATATCACGCTGCGCCTTGGTCTGACCCGTTGATGAACGAGAGTGACAGAAGATCCCACCAAACGAGGACCAAGCAGCGTGCCCAGGCGGAGCGAAGGGCCATGTCACAGGTGGGCAAGTTGTGGTCATGGGAAGAGATCTTTTCGGGGAAAGGACCATGGGCTAAGGTAGATGCCCAGGCAGGAGAGGAGCAACGGCAACACGGAGGAAGCTGGTCAAGGAGGAAGCCTGAGAGGCAACCCCAAGAAAACATTTTTTGGGGGGGCACACGGGGTGGTTGGCGGAGCCTAGGGTTAGAGCAGAGCCAACTCCCGTACTCACGCGAGAAGGCGTATGACTGGGCAAGCTCCGTGTTATGCCGAGCTACGTACTGTGTCGCCAGTGCGCCGGCACAGTCCTGAACGTCCTGTGCTTGCACCACGCACGTGCCGTGCGAAGATGGGCATCCAGCCAGGACGGGGTGTGCCGGCTCAACGCTCCTGGTCTCCAGTACGCCTCCTCGGTCCCGCGTATCCTGCGCCAGTTCTACGAGCTGTATCGCCAGTACGCGTGCACAGCCCAGTGCGTCCTGTGCCAGCGCCCCGCATGTGTAGTGCGAAAGTGGGTAGCCAGCCAGGACGGGTTGTGCCAGCTCTCCGCTCCAGACCTCCAGTCCGCTTTCGCAGTCCGGTCCGGCCCGTTCCTGCTCCTCGCACCAAGCCAGTGGTGCGCGTCGCCAGCCCGGCCCGTTCCTGCTCCTCGCACCAAGCCAGTGGTGCGCATCGCCAGCCCGGTCCGGCCTGTTCCTGCTCCTCGCACCAAGCCTGTGGTGCGCGTCGCCAGCCCGGCCCGGCCTGTTCCTGCTCCTCGCACCAAGCCAGTGGTGCGCGTCGCCAGCCCGGCCCGGCCTGTTCCTGCTCCTCGCACCAAACCAGTGGTGCGTGTTCCCAGCCCGGCCCGGCCTGTTCCTGCTCCTCGCACCAAGCCAGTGGTGCGCGTCACCAGCCCGGCCTGTTCCTGCTCCTCGCACCAAGCCAGTGGTGCGCGTCGCCAGTCCGGCCCGGCCTGTTCCTGCTCCTCGCACCAAGCCAGTGGTGCATGTTCCTAGTCCGGTTCGGCCCGTGCCTGCTCCTCGCACCAGACCAATGGTGAGTGTGTCCAGTCCGGCACGGCCCGTGCCCGTTCCACCGGTGCCTGGTCCGGCACCAGTCAGCAGCTCCAGTCCGGAGCCAGAATAGTCCGCTCCACCGGTGCCTGATCCAGCTCCGGTCAGCTGCTCCAGTCCGGAGCCAGAGTAGTCCACTCCACCGGTGCCTGATCCAGCTCCGGTCAGCTGCTCCACTCCGGAGCCAGACTAGTCCACTCCACCGGGGTCTAGTCCAGCTCCGGTTAGTGGCTCCACTCCGGAGCCAGAGCAGTCCGCTCCACCGGTGCCTGATCCAGCTCCGGTCAGCGGCTCCACTCCGGAGCCAGAGCAGTCCGCTCCACCGGGGTCAAGTCCAGATCCGGTCAGCGGCTCCACTCCGGAGCCAGAGTAGTCCGCTCCACCGGTGCCCAGTCCAGCTCCGGTCAGCGGCTCCAGTCCGGAGCCTGAGCAGTCCGCTCCACCGGTGCCTGATCCAGCTCCGGTCAGCGGCTCCAGTCCAGACCCAGACGTCAGCCCCTCTCCAGGTTCGGGGTCTCCCACACCAGGGTCCAGACAGGGCTTGGAGTATAGTGGGAGGAAGGAGAGGGGAAGCAGCGCGCCGAGGTCCAGACCAGACCAGGGGCGCAACAGGGAGGCGGAGAATAGGTGGTGGTCACGCCCGGAGCCGGATCCGCCTCCGAGGCGGAATGCCCACCCGGCCCCTACCCTGTTAAGTAAAGGTTGTGCGGTCGGAGTCCGCACCTTTGGGGGGGGGGGGGTACTGTCACGCCCTGACTTGGGGGACTCTTATTTGTTGAGTCAGGGTGTGTATTTTCTATGTGGTGTAGGTCTATGTTATAAGTCTAGTATGTCTAGATCTATGTTGGCCGGTGTGGTTCCCAATCAGAGGCAGCTGTCGCTCGTTGTCTCTGATTGGGGACCATACTTAGGCAGCCTATTGGCACTAGTGGGTTGTGGGATCTTGTTCTGTATAAGATTTGTTGTGTTACCTTAGGACTTCACGTGTCGTTAGTTTATTGTTTTTGTCGTGTGTTTATTTGTGAAAATAAACATGTTTCCATATCACGCTGCGCCTTGGTCTGATCCGTCAATGAACGAGCGTGACAGTAGCATTGCCTTTAAATTGTTTCGTGTAGCCTTCCACAAGCTTCCCATAATAAGTTGGGTGAATTTTGGCCCATTCCTCCTGACAGAGCTGGTGTAACTGAGTCAGGTTTGTAGGCCTCCTTGCTCGCACACGCTTTTTCAGTTCTGCCCACAAATGTTCTATAGGATTGAGGTCAGGGCTTTGTGATGGCCACTCCAATGCCTTGACTTTGTTGTCCTTATGCCATTTTGCCACAACTTTGGAAGTATGCTTGGGGTCATTGTCCATTTGGAAGACCCATTTGCGACCAAGCTTTAACTTCCTGACTGATGTCTTGAGATGTTGCTTCAATATATCCACATCATTTTCCTTCCTCATGATGGTATTTATTTTGTGAAGTGCACCAGTCCCTCCTGCAGCAAAGCACCCCCACAGCATGATGTTGCCACCCCTGTGCTTCATGGTTGGAATGGTATTCTTCGGCTTGCAAGCATCCCCCTTATTCCTCTAAACATAACGATGGTCATTATGGCCAAACAGTTCTATTTTTGTTTCATCAGACCAGAGGACATTTCTCCAAAAAGTATGATATTTTTCCCCATGTGCAGTTGCAAACCGTAGTCTGGCTTTTTTATGGCGGTTTTGGAAGAAGTGGCTTCTTCCTTGCTGAGCGACCTTTCAGGTTATGTTGATATAGGACTCGTTTTACTGTGGATATAGATATTTTTGTACCTGTTTCCTCCAGCATCTTCACAAGGTCCTTTGCTGTTGTTCTGGGATTGATTTGCACTTTTCGCACCAAAGTTCGTTAATCTCTAGGAGACAGAACGCGTCTCCTTCCTGAGCGGTATGAGGGCTGCGTGGTCCCATGGTGTTTATACTTGTGTACTATTGTTTGTACAGATGAACGTGGTACCTTCAGGCGTTTGGAAATTGCTCCCAAGGATGAACCAGACTTGTGGAGGTCTACAATTTATTTTCTGAGGTCTTGGCTGATTTCTTTTGATTTTCACATGATGTCAAGCAAAGAGGCACTGAGTTTGAAGGTAGGCCTTGAAATACATCCACAGGTACACCTCAAATTGATGTCAATTAGCCTATCAGAAGCTTCTAAAGCCATGACATCATTTTCTGGAATTATCCAAGCTGTTTAAAGGCACAGTCAACTTAGTGTATGTAAACTTCTGACCCACTGGAATTGTGATACAGTGAATTATAAGTGAAATAATCTGTCTGTAAACAAAGGTTGGAAAATGTACTTGTGTCCTGCACAAAGTAGATGTCCTAACCGACTTGCCAAAACTATAGTTTGTTAACAAGAAATTTGTGGAGTGGTTGAAAAACAAGTTTTAATGACTCCAACCTAAGTGTATGTAAACTTCCGACTTCAACTGTATGTGTGTGGATGATGATGATGATGATGATGATGGTTTTGATGCCGTTTCATGGCTGGAAAGCCAACATTTTGTTTTTCCATTTATGCTGATTTACAACTCATGTCCAGTTCCTCTTTCTGCAGAAGTTCCTATTTTGGTAGAATAATAGTCCCTTCTCTCTTGTGTACCTACTTCCTCTCTGGCTGCTCGGTTCACATGACGCAGAAGTGCCTGGTCAACCCTCCAATACAAATAAAGACACAGCTATTTAAAAGTCAGGACTTGTGACACTGCCTACACTCACTACCAGTGGGAAGACTGCCTACACTCACTACCAGTGGGAAGACTGCCTACACTCACTACCAGTGGGAAGACTGCCTACACTCACTACCAGTGGGAAGACTGCCTACACTCACTACCAGTGGGGAGACCTAGGGAAGGATATGGAGATCAAAGTAAGTGATATGACTGCATCCCTTCCACTTTATGTTGTAGTTTTCTATTTTAATTATAACAATGTAGGGTAGTAGAAATGTGAGGGATCAGGGATGTGCTCTTTGGTCTTTTTAACAATGTATACTGTAGTAGTCGTCATGTGGAGGCTGAAGCTTTGTTTTCAACAATGTATGGTAATGTGAGTATGTTTTCCATTACGTTCCATAGGATTCACCTGTGAAGGGAGGTATCTCTATACTTCACACAGAGGAGAATGGGAAACACCACTATGAAGTGGAGAAGGTCCTCAAATTCAAGAAAGAAGGACAAGGAGGAGGAGCCTTCGCCAGGTAAGCTCTGATAACCTCTCTGTTTATCTATGAAGAATTTGAATATACTTTAGGTTGCAACCTTTAAAAAATATGTTTCATCAGGGGAGGGTTGGAGGATTTGGATAGAGGAGTTGAGAAATAGTTGGGGGAAACAGGAGGGACTTCCCATATTGTAAAACTCCTTTATGATGTAAGAAAATCGTTTTTGATCTAATGTCCAATGATTTTACAGTGGTGAGGTCACAGAGTGATTTAATTAGGTAATTCCACCCCTGAATGTAATAAAAAAGCTGTATTATTTTTCTCCAGGTCTGTGTAGATTGAACCACCAGGTCTGTGTAGATTGAACCACCAGGTCTGTGTAGATTGAACCACCAGGTCTGTGTAGATTGAACCACCAGGTCTGTGCAGTGCCAGATTAAGAAATCATAGGCCCCAGGGCTTTGCTTTTTTATAGTTCCCCTTTTTAAAAATCTGCCTTTTAAAAACGCATTTCATGCAATTCTACATCATTTACATGACAAAAGACATTAGCTGAATCTTTTTTAATAACACACAAATGACCGAAATGAGTGGCTACTCTGACAGTGACAAACTGAGATCAATCTGGTCTTGAATTCAAGCAAACAATAGCCCAGGCCAATGAAGCGACACAAAGATTGTACAGTATCATGAGGCAGTGTACACTACCAGTCAAAAGTTTGGACACACCTACTCATTCAAGGGTTTTTCTTTATTGTTTCTATTTTCTACAATGTAGAATAATAGTGAAGACATCAAAACTATGAAATAATACATATGGAATCATGTAGTAATCTAAAACGTGTTAAACAAATCGACATATATTGTATATTTGATATTCTTCAAATAGCCACGCTTTGCCTTGATGACAGCTTTGCACACTCTTGACATTCTCTCAACCAGCTTCACCTGGAATGCTTTTCCAACTGTCTTGAAGGCGTTCCCACATATGCTGAGCACTTGTTGGCTGCTTTTCTTTCACTCTGCCATCCGACTCATCCCAAACCATCTCAATTGGGTTGAGGTCGGGGGATTGTGGAGGCCAGGTCATCTGACAGCACTCCATCACTCTCCTTCTTGGTAAAATAGCCCTTACACAGCCTGGATGTGTGTTGGGTCATTGTCCTGTTGAAAAACAAATGATAGTCCCACTAAGCCCAAACCAGATGGGATGGCGTATTGCTGCAGAATGCTGTCGTAGCCATGCTGGTTAAGTGTGCCTTGAATTCTAAATAAATCACAGACAGTGTCATCAGCAAAGCACCCCCCACACCATAACAGCTCCTCATCCATGCTTTACGTGGGAACTGCACTTGAAGAAACGTTCAAAGTTCTTGACATTTTCCGGATTGACTGAACTTAATGTCTTAAAGTAATGATTAACTCCCGAGTGGCACAGTGCTCTAAGGCACTGCATCGCAGTGCTAGCTGTGCCACTAGAGATCCTGGATTGAATCCAGGCTCTGTCGTAGCCGGCCGCGACCGGGAGACCCATGGGGTGGCGCACAATTGGCCCAGGGTAGGGGAGGGAATGGCCGGCAGGGATGTAGCTCAGTTGGTAGAGCATGGCGTTTGCAACGCCAGGGTTGTGGGTTCGATTCCCACGGGGGGCCCGTATAAACTTTTTTAAAAAGAAATGTATGCACTCACTAACTGTAAGTCGTCTGCTAAATGACTAAATAAATGATGGACTGTAATTTCTCTTTTCTTATTTGAGCTGTTCTTGCCATAATATGGTATTTTACCTTTTACCACCTTTTACCATCTTCTGTATACCCCCCCCCCCACCTTGTCACAACACAACTGATTGGCTCAAACGCATTAAGAAGGAAAGAAATTCCACAAATTAACTTTTAACAAGGCACACCTGTTAATTGAAATGCATTCCAGGTGACTACCTCATGAAGCTGGTTGAGAGAATGCCAAGAGTGTGCAAAGCTGTCATCAAGGCAAAGGGTGGCTATTTGAAGAATCTCAAATATAAAATATATTTTGATTTGTTTAACACTTTTTTGGTTACTACATGATTCCATATGTGTTATTTCATAGTTTTGATGTCTTCACTATTATTCTACAATGTATTTTTTTGTTGTTGAAAAAATAAAGAAAAACCCTTGAATGAGTGTCCAATCTTTTGACTGGTAGTGTATATATATCGTAGACTACTAAATAAAATGTCCAGTGGCACACTGACTCAGCTAATGATGAAGATGAAGCCATAGGCTACTCACGGTGATGCCCGATGCGCTCGTCGTGGCAATAGCCTATCTCAAGATGAGCTACTTTGAAAAAGAATGCTGCTGTTAGCTACAAATTGGGAGTTGTTGTGAAAAAATGTTTCTATTGGTTCTACAGACAGATTAGTATTTTATTTTCAGCAGTAGGAATTTGCTTTCCAAACTGTACATTTTTCCCGCGATTGTATTTTGAAATCTGCAAAAGGCAAACCGACAACCGCAACCAACCATAGAAATATAATCCATAGATTGCAGTTCCCATTCAAGTCAGGACTGGCATCCATTGCTAGTGTACCCATGAGTTTAATAGTCAAATTGTCTGGAAAAGAGGTTACAAAACCCTTCTGGATTATATGTCTATGGCCACAAGCAACAACCTGTAGCCTAAATGTGGCATGTATGCTGCCCAAACTGCGGCCTTCCCGACTGTAGACATAACGGTAACTGCCAAAATAAAGGAAACACTTGAGTAAGCAAGGTATACAAAGTACATGTTATGTACACTTGTAGAATCTATGCCAAGGAGCATTGAAGCTGTTCTGGCAGCTCTTGGAGGGGCAACACCCTTTTAAGACACTTTATGTTGATGCTTCCTTAATTTTGGCAGATAACTGTATGTGCTGTATTATTTTATATAAACTATTGATCTTCTGTGGCTAAATGATGCTCTCTGGTGTATTTTGAACATTGAGATCGTGCTCCTGTGGTTGGATAAAAAATGATAATACCAAAAATAACATTTTATTTTGTATTTTCTTGGGCCTCTACGGGCTTGGGCCCAGCCCCTTATTCACACAATTGACCAGTCACATTTATTTATTATGCAGTTTATTTTAATTATTTCATTAATCAGTTACCCAATCAAGGCAGGGCCCCCCAGTTACCTCCTCTCCTCCCCCCATCTGATGATTAGCAGAGCGGCAGCAGCAGGCTGTCTGAACTCATTGAGAGCGGGCTCCTGAGTCCTCCTGTGGTTGGCGGTTGCAGTGAAAAAAATATAAAATATATACTACATATATAATACAGTACATACTACATATCATATATACAGTACATATTTCCTTAATATATGTTACAGGAGGGGGTCGCAGTTCCGGAGCAATCCACTAGGTGTCCTCCTCCGACAACCTTAGACACCTTCTCACTCACAGTCTGGACTAATCATGATCCTATTGGTGTCACCTGTGTCTACCTGTTCACCTGTGTATTTATGCCCTCACTTCCCTGTGTTCCCTTGCTAGTTTATCTATGCTCAGCAGTACTAATCAGTGTCTGATCTGAGAAGTATGTACAGGTACTCGAGAAGTGTTCTCCCTGTTTCTTTATTATTTCAGTCGTAGTTACTATTTCGTATTTTGGGTGTCAGCCTGTTTTTGGAAAAAATTTTGCTCCACCTTTCTGTTATCGTGTTAAGTCCGTTGTTTTGTATCCTGGCTTCGGGACCACCAGTAAAGATCCTTGTTTCACCATCTCTGTCTACTGCCTACTGTCTATCCTGCACCGCACCTGGGTCACACCTCACACCTCACACCAACCCTTACACACATATATACATAAATATATATACACACATACACATATATATACATATATATATATATATATATACACAGATATATATATACACATATATATATATACACATACACATATATATATATATATATATATATATATATATATATATACTACCGTTCAAAAGTTTGGGGTCACTTGTTATTGAAAGAAAAGCAATTTTTTTGTCCATTAAAATAACATCAAATTGATAATAAATACAGTGTAGACATTGTTAATGTTGTAAATTGTGGAGCTGTCTCTAACCAGAATAGAAAGAGGAGTGGGAGGCCCCGGTACACAACTGAGCAAGGGGACACCGGGGCCTCCCACTCCTCTTTCTATTCTGGTTAGAGACAGTTTGCGCTGTTCTGTGAAGGGTGTAGTACACAGCGTTGTACGAGATCGTCAGTTTCTTGGCAATTTATCGCACGGAATAGCCTTCATTTCTCAGAACAAGAATAGACTGACGAGTTTCAGAATAAAGTTATTTGTTTCTGGCCGTTTTGAGCCTGTAATCGAACCCACAATTGCTGATGCTCCAGATACTCACCTAGTCTCAAGAAGGCCAGTTTTATTGCTTCTTTAATTAGCACAACAGTTTTCAGCTGTGCTAACATAATTGCAAAAGGGTTTTCTAATGATCAATTAGCCTTTTAAAATGATAAACTTGGATTAGCAAACACAAAGTGCCATTGGAACACAGGACTGATGGTTGCTGATAATGGGCCTCTGTACGCCTATGTAGATATTCCATTAAAAATCAGCTGTTTCCAGCTACAATAGCCATTTACAACATTTAACAATGTCTACACTGTATTTCTGATCAATTTGATGTTATTTTAATGGACAAAAAAAATGCATTTCTTTCGAAAACAAGGACATTTCTAAGTGACCCCAAACTTTTGAACGGTAGTGTGTGTATATATATAAATTGCTGCCTCTTGAGCCCCCCACGGGCCTGGGCCCAGGGGCTTCAGCTCCGGTAAGCCCCTGCATTATTCCAGCCCTGGGTCTCCATAGATTGAACCATTATACAGTATGTGGTGTTGTTGTTCCTCAGGAAAGGAGACAAGCTCCTGATGATAAATGGAGTGAACCTACAAGACCTATCCCCAAAGGCCTTCGTCAAGATTCTGACAGAAGGAAACCCAATGTTGGTGAGTGAATGAGTGATATAGTTGGAGGAAAGTTCTTATATTAATTCACTCACTATTCATGGGTTGCATGTTTCATCACAATAATTGTTTTGAACGTTGGTTTTGGACTGATGCCCAACTGAGTGTTCTACTCAACATATCGTCAATGAGCGCCGATGAAGATGTAATCAAACGTCCATTACAGTGGCTTAGAAATACAATGCCATTCAAAAGGATGCAAATAATTAGTAGCAAAACCTTTTGTCATCATTTTGATGTCGCCAGATTGTCTTTAGATGCAGTATAACTTTAGCTAGTTAGTTAAGATTGAGGGGAGGACACCGGGTTTGCGCTAGCTACCGTTAGCATGGCTAGCTATTTTTCACAAACTTTGCTAGCTAATGACAACATTGCCATCTCTCTAAAATACATTTGACAACATGATAAGCTGGAAAAATTGTTTCCTACTAAACATTTGACTACTTTAGCTTTGTCATCTTATTTCCAGGCACTATAGTGTAGTTTAGACTAAACAGCCGTTAGCTTCCGTCCAGAATGACTGGGTTTATCAGGACTTTAAATTAGGGCACCACCGTTACGCTGCCAGGCCTGGTAAAAATCTAGACTACTCAAAACCCGCCCACAAGGCCTGAAAACTAGCCCAATTTTTTTTTTCTCGCAGCAAGAAAGGAGTTGCCACATTTAGCCAATAAACCATTTTTCAACAATGCTATCGAGCGATTTTAAGAAGGAATATCGACTTCACTTCTAAAGACCTAAGAATCAAAATTCGGTTTTCCTTCAACTAATGTGACAAGTTAAGGAATTTTAAATTGTCACGAGAAAATATAATTTGCCCTTATTAAACTTCAAAAAACGAATGTTAGGCTATTTTCTGGCAATTGTGCCGTTATTATGTGCCAGATGTTAAGACTACAAACCGTTATAAATGCCCTATTTGCCAGATTGACTTGTCATTTCAATAGGCGTAGGCTAGGCCTACTGACTAAAATCCAAGTTTATGTTTGTAATTAAACTTTGCCATGGTTTGGTTAGCTAGATGCAGGCAGCCTATAGCCCCTGATAGGCCTACATCTAATTTCAGATAGCCTACAGTAGCCTAGGCAAGATGTAGGTGAGATGTAAGATGAACGATTTAGCAGCTTGCTTAGTTCAAATTGATGGACTAATTCATTCAATACGAATAGCGAGGCGATTTCAAGGTAAGAAGTCCTTCCATTGTCGAATTGCCTGCTGGATGGGATCGTAATTTCAATCACTGAATCAAATATTAATAATATGGATATGAACTGAATAGGTCTATGCTTGTCAACAACAGCCAGTGTTCTTTATTTTTTATTTTTTTACTTGTAGCCTAATCTGACTGACTGTTACCTTCAATCTAATTCATTCTATTAAACAGCTGATTGGCAATTGAGATAGCGCTGTGACCATGATCACAATTGATAACTTCCAATTTCATTAACTAAACATGGCCATTAATAATTGCATAATAACATAAGGCTACAACAACAATAAACTGAAGTTATAATGTAGCCTATTTATTAAATTCAGTGGTGTAAAGTACTTAAGGAAAAATACTTTAAAGTACTATTTAAGTCGTTTTTTGGGGGGTATCTGTACTTTACTATTTATATTTTTGACTACTTTTGCTTTTACTTCACTACATTCCAAAAAGAAGTATGTACTTTTTAATCCATACATTTTCCCTGACACCCAAAAGTACTGGTTACATTGTGAATGCTTAGCAGGACAGGAAAATAGTCAAATTCACGCACTAATCAATAGAACATCCCTGGTCATCCCTACTGCCTCTGATCTGGTGGACACACTAAACACACACGCTTCGTTTGTAAATTATGTCTGAGTATTGGAGATAGCCCCTGGCTATCCATAAATTTAAAAAACAAGAATATGGTGCTGTCTGATTTGCTTAATATAAGGAATTTGAAATGATATATACTTTTACTTTTGATACTTAAATATATTTTAGCAATTATGTTTACTTTTGATACATAAGTATATTTAAAATCAAATAATTGTAGATTTTTACTCAAGTAGTATTTGACTGGGTGACTTTCACTTTTACTTGAGTCATTTTCTATTAAGTTATCTTTACTTTTACTCAAGTATGACAATTGGGTAGCCTACTTTTCTCACCACTGATTAAATCTGTTTGACATCGCCAGGTAGTCAACATCGTTTTCAATGTAGCCCAATTTAGAAGGAAAATTGCAGACATGGCAACCCTGCCACTGGTAGAGGGCGGCTTGAGAACTTTCATAACAATGGCTTGAGGTGACCAAGTGATATTTACCAGAAATGACCAACAATTGTTTTGTTTTGAATTACTGTTTTAACCCATCAATCTCAATATTAGTCAGAGAGAGCGAGAGAGACAGACAGGGGAATGTGGAGAGAGAGAGAAGGGGGAGAGATGGAGCGAAAGGGGGAGAGCTAGAGGGAGAGAAGGAGAGAGAGAGGGGAGAGACAGAGAGAGAGACAGCGATGATACCATTGTTTATGGTATACAGTTTTCTTCAACTCTCCAGGAAGAAAGAGGAAGGACATCAGTGTTGACGTTATTCAGATAGTGTTGTCTGTTATCTTCCCATCTCTCTAGACTGTCCACCAAGCCAGCAGGGCTCCTCACCCAGAGAGATGCCCAGAGGAGGGGCCCGGTGCTGGGGCTGGGGCCGGGGCTCTCCACCCGGTCTCCAAGGAGAGCACCATGCTCAGCTTCAGCCTGGAGATGGGACGAGAGGATGACCTGGGTGATCTGGAGAGGTGGGCTGAATCAATCAAAAAATCAATGAGTCATCCTATCAATCAGTCAATAAATCAGCCATATCGGGTGAACCGTTTAGAAATTACAGCACTTTTTGTACATAGTCCCCCCATTTTAGGGGACCAAAAGTATTCACTTATACAGAATGTGTATTAAAGTAGTAAAAAGTTAAGTATTTGGTCCCATATTCATAGCACGCAATGACTACATCAAGCTTGTGACTCTACAAATTTGTTGGATGCATTTTCTGTTTGTTTTGGTTGGTTTTAGATTATTTTGTGCCCAATAGAAATGAATGGTAAATAATACATTACTTTTGTGTGCTGTAATTTTTAAAATGTTCACCCAATATGGACGGAAATACCCTCAAATTAAAGCTGACAGTCTGCACTTTAACCTCATAGTCATTGTATAATTTCAAATGCAAAGTGCTGGAGTACAGAGCCAAAACAAAGGTCACAGTCCCAATATTTTGGAGCTCACTGTACATTCCTGGAACGTGTGTTGACACAGTGGCATATTATATTTTGTGTATAATGTATTTTCATGTTTCCCAAACTCGGTCCTGGGGCCCCCCCTGGGTGCATGTTTTGGTTTTTGCCCTAGCACTACACAACTGATTCAAATAACCAACTCATCATCAAGCTTTTATTTTTTGAATCAACTTTGTAGTGCTAAGGCAAAAACCAAAACGTTCACCCAATGGGGGGCACCAGGACCGAGTTTGGGAAACCCTGTTTTAATGGATCACTGGCCTCACACAAAGAATCTCCATTAAAATGTATAATAACGTCATGTTGTATCGTCCCTGGAAAAAGTGACTCATGTCGCCCCATGGAAGACCTCCCAGAAGAGGAAGTCAACGAAGTCGATGGTGAGGTTGACGATCTGTTCCTGGTGGCTATGACGAACACCAGAATCTCCGTGGTGAGGGGGCGTGGCTGCAGCGCCGGGAGCTCTTGTCACAACTGCGGCAAGTCGGATTGTAACTTCAACGAGGTTGTCATGGTCGCAGAGTCCAGCAAAGTCACACTGGGTAAGACTGATTATTATTATTATTTATTTTTTAGCACTGGGGGCAGTTCCCACCCCACTTGTATTTTTGACATGCTTTTAATTGATAGCACAGTGAGTAGAGGGGACAGGAAAGACAGGAGAAGATTGTGTCAAATAGGTAGTGGGACGGTTTCATACCCAGGCAGACATGATACATGTGCACTGGGGAGTAGCAGCATATAACCACTAGCTAGACCACAGCAGGCAACCCTTTATTTTCATTTAACCAGGGTGTCCCAGGGTATGTTCTGGTGCTTACTTCAAAGCATTTAACACACCTGGTTGGTAACCTAGGTATTCCTTGTAGTAATAGTGTCAGTATTGCCAACCCAGCAGTGCTTCTGTAGCCATGTTGCTCTACTGTTCTAACTGGTTTGTGCCTGGTATTTAAGAAGACATTGTATGGTGACAATAGATACTTTCTGGTACTACTTACTCAACTCTACCTGATTCCAAATTGTGGGCAATAGCTGTGCTTGCAGAAACAATCATATTTTAATTTTCATATTTTATTACTGTATAATTACAATTTATTCAACTTTTAACTGGTTCCAAATCGTGGCTAGTGGTGCTTATAGACATTTTCATATTTTATTACTGTTAAATTACCATTTCATTACATAATTTCTGAGTAAATACAGGTTAATTTGTGTACTGTAAAATACACTTCCCTCATAATATCTCCCATGACCTTTCTCAGACAGAGAAGTGAAACCCTGGTCATGAATACCATATCGCAGTCACCATGTCCACATAGTTATAAACTAGACTTGATCCTTTCCACATCTCCTCCACACAGTTATAAACTAGACTTGATCCTTTCCACATCTCCTCCACATAGTTATAAACTAGACTTGATCCTTTCCACATCTCCTCCACATAGTTAGAAACTAGACTTGATCCTTTCCACATCTCCTCCACACAGTTATAAACTAGACTTGATCCTTTCCACATCTCCTCCACACAGTTATAAATTAGACTTGATCCTTTCCACATCTCGTCCACATAGTTATAAACTAGACTTGATCCTTTCCACATCTCCTCCACATAGTTATAAACTAGACTTGATCCTTTCCACATCTCCTCCACATAGTTATAAACTAGACTTGATCCTTTCCACATCTCCTCCACACAGTTATAAACTAGACTTGATCCTTTCCACATCTCGTCCACACAGTTATAAACTAGACTTGATCCTTTCCACATCTCGTCCACATAGTTATAAACTAGACTTGATCCTTTCCACATCTCCTCCACATAGTTATAAACTAGACTTGATCCTTTCCACATCTCCTCCACACAGTTATAAACTAGACTTGATCCTTTCCACATCTCCTCCACACAGTTATAAACTAGACTTGATCCTTTCCACATCTCGTCCACACAGTTATAAACTAGACTTGATCCTTTCCACATCTCGTCCACACAGTTATAAACTAGACTTGATCCTTTCCACATCTCGTCCACACAGTTATAAACTAGACTTGATCCTTTCCACATCTTGTCCACATAGTTATAAACTAGACTTGATCCTTTCCACATCTCTTCACCAATGCACCAGTGTCTCTGGCATGGGTCCCAAACAATGACATCATCCAAACGAAGAGCTTGTTGAGGTTTCCTCATCATCTTCATTGTATTTTTTTATGACCATTTTGTCTTTTTGTTTCTTTCTTTCTCTATGTGTTCAGTGTCACGAGGAATGGGCAACTTGGAAAACGTAAAACAGTTGGACAACATCTTTATTGAAAACTATTTCTATAACACATACCTTCGGTGTAAACCTACACGTAGGATGCAGATTATTCCTAGTTTGTCAACAACTCCAGGTTTGTTATAGAATAATATTTTTGTATTATGCCGTCAATTTTCTTATTATTTTATCATTATAAAATATATAACTGTGTTTAATAAACGCTGCAATGGCGATTATGTGCACAAATATTAACTTGATGATCACGGACAGTCTAAACTGTATAGTGTTAGAATGAAGAATATAGACTACAGACTGCCAACGCTAACTTTATCCCAATGTTTGTGTTGCTATGATAATAACTGATTATTGATTTGTTTATTTATTTATTTATTTCAGAGAAGATCACCATCTATCATTACAAGTCTGACTGTGTGGACGGAGAGTTTCGGGGGGTCCCTGTGGTCCTCAACTTCACCAGCTCTAACTGTTTCCTGAAGTGTGTTAAGGACGGAGAGAGAGTCTCTCTCAGTGTTGAGGTGAGCGCATACCCTTCAGGCCCTCTAATAGACATTGGGGTTAGGTGTTTCAAGGCCTTCTAACAGACATTGGGGTTAGGTGTTTCAAGGCCTTCTAACAGACATTGGGGTTAGGTGTTTCAAGGCCTTCTAACAGACATTGGGGTTAGGTGTTTCAAGGCCTTCTAACAGACATTGGGGTTAGGTGTTTCATGGCCTTCTAACAGACATTGGGGTTAGGTGTTTCAAGGCCTTCTAACAGACATCGGGGTTAGGTGTTTCAAGGCCCTCTAACAGACATTGGGGTTAGGTGTTTCAAGGCCCTCTAACAGACATTGGGGTTAGGTGTTTCAAGGCCCTCTAATAGACATCGGGGGTTAGGTGTTTCAAGGCTTTCTAACAGACATTAGGGTTAGGTGTTTCAAGGCCCTCTAATAGACATCGGGGTTAGGTGTTTCAAGGCCCTCTAACAGACATTGGGGTTAGGTGTTTCAAGGCCCTCTAATAGACATTGGGGTTAGGTGTTTCAAGGCCCTCTAATACACATTGGGGTTAGGTGTTTCAAGGCCCTCTAATACACATTGGGGTTAGGTGTTTCAAGGCCCTCTAATACACACTGGGGTTAGGTGTTTCAAGGCCCTCTAATACACATTGGGGTTAGGTGTTTCTAGGCCCTCTAATACACATTGGGGTTAGGTGTTTTTAGGCCCTCTATTACACATTGGGGTTAGGTGTTTTTAGGCCCTCTATTACACATTGGGGTTAGGTGTTTCAAGGCCCTCTAATACACATTGGGGTTAGGTGTTTCAAGGCCCTCTAATACACATTGGGTTTAGGTGTTTCTAGGCCCTCTATTACACATTGGGGTTAGGTGTTTCAAGGCCCTCTAATAGACATTGGGGTTAGGTGTTTCAAGGCCCTCTAATGGACATCGGGGTTAGGTGTTAAGGCCCTCTAATGGACATCGGGGTTAGGTGTTTCAAGGCCCTCTAATGGACATCGGGGTTAGGTGTTTCAAAGCCCTCTAATAGACATTGGGGTTAGGTGTTTCAAGGCCCTCTAATAGACATTGGGGGTTAGGTGTTTCAAGGCCCTCTAATACACATTGGGGTTAGGTGTTTCAAGGCCCTCTAATACACATTGGGGTTAGGTGTTTCAAGGCCCTCTAATGGACATCGGGGTTAGGTGTTTCAAGGCCCTCTAATGGACATCGGGGTTAGGTGTTTCAAGGCCCTCTAATGGACATCGGGGTTAGGTGTTTGAAGGCCCTCTAATACACATTGGGGTTAGGTGTTTCAAGGCCCTCTAATGGACATCGGGGGTTAGGTGTTTCAAGGCCCTCTAATGCACATTGGGGTTAGGTGTATCAAGGCCCTCTAATGGACATCGGGGTTAGGTGTTTGAAGGCCCTCTAATACACATTGGGGTTAGGTGTTTCAAGGCCCTCTAATGGACATCGGGGGTTAGGTGTTTCAAGGCCCTCTAATGCACATTGGGGTTAGGTGTATCAAGGCCCTCTAATGGACATCGGGGGTTAGATGTTTCAAGCGAGCTGTAGTCCTCTGGCTCCTTATCGTAACGGTACAAGGGACCCAGAGGGTTACTCCCTACATCGTCATAAGGGTCATTTTTACCAGCATTTTCACAATCAGTAGTGACATCATCTTACCTGCCTTCTGTACCGCCAGGCACTAGGCAGCTCAGACATGGGGTCATAACCCATATGACACGTACGGAGTACAATAGCACAACTACAGTCAGTTTTAAGGCATTCACCTACAGTGAGTCATTCCAGGACCAGATTGGGTCCCACATATTGCCGTTTACCAGAGAGGTCACAATCTGTTCACCAATCACCCCTTCACTGGTAAAGGAACCAATTGCAGCGTTCACCTTGACATTTACCGAGGAATGTATAATGGAGATAGCCTTCATCTGGGTGCTATGGGCACGGCAGACTCAGTCAATTCGTGCAACTCAACAAGTTCTTTAAGGATAGTGGAAATGTACAGAACAGGTATGTTTGAGGTTAGTGACTGGGTATGTTTAGATGTTCTAGGGAACAACGCGGTGTCATCGGAAAATATATGATTCTTAACATCAACACAGTAATCGTTAGGGACTTTACATGTCCGCGCTGTGTTTGTTAACAGCTGGGTAGGGGCTCTCCCATGTCCAGGATGCAGCTGAGATTAGTTCCTTCATGGGAAACAGCTGGTGGCTTGAAATGGAACAGTAGATGTTAGACAGGGTGGTATAGCATCTGGTCATGAGTACCGTTTCTAAAAGGTACAGGAGTGATTAGAGTCAAGCCCTCAACTTGCATTGTCCTTACCCATGACCATTTCCCAGGCAGTCTATCTCCAATAGGAACTTCTACCATACTTGCAAGACAGTGGAGGCTGCTGAGGGAAGAACGGCTCATAATAATGGCTGGAACGGTCCAAATGGAATGGCATCAAACACTTGGAAACCGTGTGTTTGATGTATTTGATACCATTCCACTGATTCCGCTCCAGTCATTACCACAAGCCCGTTCTCCCCAATTAAGGTGTGTTGCAAGAATAAAATGGGGCCAGGAGCCCTCAACTTTGGGTGGTGCCAGTAATGACATGGGAATTTAACCGAATGGAGGTGGAGCGCGTCAGCATTCAGGGCTAGAACCACACAGTTTATAATTGGCCTTGTCCGTGTCATACGTGGTAACAGACCACGATCACATGCAGCGTCGACGTTATCTATTTACCATCAAGTAAAGGGTAAAAGTCCACGATGCTCCTGGCCCTTCTGATGGGCATCCTCCTGCTCCAGAACCTCCACCTCCTAGTGGGAGGAAACAAAAACGCCATCACAGGCGTAGAGGAAAGACAGAGGGGTGATGTGCTAGCAACCTCTCCCCCTCCGCATCCTGCACCACTGAATCTAGAGGGGAGACCCCTACTGAAGAAACCGAAACTCTTGAATCTAAGGAATGTCCCCTTAGAGAAGACAGAAGAAGAAGAAGAAGAAGAAGAAGAAGAAGAAGAAGAAGAAGAAGAAGAAGAAGAAGACGTCGACGGGAAGCAAACTCACCATGCTCTTCACAGGTTGTGTGGATTGATAACCAAACAGATTAACTGTCTTTCTCCTGTGAGTTTGATGATAACCAAACAGCAGTGGTGGAAAAAGTACACAATTGTCATACTTGAGTAAAAGTAAAGATACCTTAATAGAAAATTAAGTGACGTAAAAGTGAAAGTCACCCAGTAAAATACTACTTCAGTTGTCACGCGACGTGTATGCGGTCAGCGAAGTCAAACGCAGGACACCGAGCGACTGGCAACGTACTTTTACTGAACACAGTAAAAAGAGTACAAAAACAACAAACCTCCAAACAGGGAGGAAACCCAATAACCCGCACACCAAAGCAACTGCCGGAATGACAAAGAACAATCACACACAATAACCAATGAGAGACAGGGGGTTATATAGGGAATAAAATACAACATAATGGGAAACAGGTGTAAACAATAAAGACCAAACACCGAAACATTGATCGGCAGCAGCTAGTACTCCTGGGACGATGAACGCCGAAGCCTGCCCGAGCAAGGAGGAGGAGCAGCCTCTGCTGAATCCGTGACAGTACCCCCCCCTTGACGCGCGGCTCCAGCCGTGCGCCGACCCCGGCCTCGGGGACGGCCAGGAGGACGCGGAGCAGGGCGAGTCGGATGACTCCGGTGGAAATCCCTCAACATGGAGGGATCTAGGATGTCCCTCCTAGGGACCCAGCACCGTTCCTCCGGACCGTACCCCTCCCACTCCACGAGATACTGCAGACCCCCCATCCGACGCCTCGAATCCAAGATGGAACGGACTGAGTACGCCGGAGCCCCCTCGATGTCTAGTGGGGGCGGAGGAGCCTCTCGTACCTCATTCTCCTGGAGTGGACCAGCTACCACCGGCCTGAGGAGAGACACATGGAACGAGGGGTTAATGCGGTAATTAATGGGCAGTTGTAACCTATAACATACCTCGTTCAATCTCCTCAGGACTTTAAATGGCCCCACAAACTGCCGACCCAGCTTCCGGCAGGGCAGGCGAAGGGGCAGGTTTCGGGTCGAGAGCCAGACCCGATCTCCCGGTGCATATACCGGAGCCTCACTGCGGTGGCGATCGGCACTCGCCTTTTGCCGCCTGATAGCCCGCTGCAGATGGACATGCGCAGCGTTCCATGTTTCTTCCGAGCGCCGAAACCACTCATCCACCGCAGGGGCTTCGATCTGGCTCTGATGCCAGGGTGCTAGGACCGGCTGATAACCCAGCACACACTGAAAAGGCGTAAGATTAGTAGAGGAGTGGCGGAGTGAGTTTTGGGCTATCTCTGCCCAGGGGATATATCCCGACCACTCCTCCTGCCGGTCCTGGCAATAGGACCTCAGAAACCTACCCACATCCTGGTTCACTCTCTCCACCTGCCCATTACTCTCAGGGTGAAAACCTGAGGTAAGGCTAATCGAGACCCCCAGACGTTCCATAAACGCCCTCCAGACTCTAGAGGTGAACTGGGGACCCCGATCAGACACTATATCCTCAGGCACCCCGTAGTGCCGGAAGACGTGAGTAAAGAGGGTGTCAGCAGTTTGTAGGGCTGTAGGGAGACCTAGCATAGGAATGAGACGGCAGGCCTTAGAAAACCGATCCACAACGACCAAGATCGTAGTGTCCACCGATAGGTGAGACCACGGCCGTTGTGGAACGGGTAGGGGTTGTAACTTCCCTCTGGGCAGGTGTCTAGGTGCCTTACACTGGGAGCACACCGAGCAGGAGGAAACGTAAACCCTCACGTCCCTAGCTAAAGTGGGCCACCAGTACTTCCCACTAAGGCAGTGCACTGTCCGACCAATACCAAGATGACCAGAGGAGGGTGACGTGTGAGCCCAATATATCAATCGATCACGAACCTCGAGCGGCACGTACTTCCATCCCTCTGGACACTGTGGGGGAGTAGGATCGGCACGTAACGCCCGCTCGATGTCCGCATCGACCTTCCACACCACCGGTGCCACCAGACAAGACTCCGGAAGTATGGGAGTGGGCTCAATGGAGCTCTCCTCTGTGTCATATAGTCGGGACAGGGCGTCTGCCTTAGCGTTCTGTGACCCTGGTCTATAGGTGAGCTTAAATACAAATCGGGTAAGAAACATAGCCCACCTAGCCTGGCGAGGGTTCAGTCTCCTCACTGCCCGGATGTACTCCAGGTTACGATGGTCAGTCAGAATGAGAAAAGGGTGTTTAGCCCCCTCAAGCCAATGCCTCCACACCTTCAGGGCTTGAACCACCGCTAGCAGCTCCCTGTCCCCCACGTCATAATTGCGCTCCGCCAGACTGAGCTTCTTAGAATAGTAAGCACAGGGGCGGAGTTTTGGTGGTGTACCCGAGCGCTGAGACAGTATAGCACCGATCCCAGCCTCGGACGCATCCACCTCAACTTGGAACGCCAAAGAGGGATCTGGATGTGCCAGCACCGGAGCCGAGGCAAACAGGTCCTTCAGATGTCTAAACGCCCTGTCCGCCTCAGCCGACCACTGCAGACGCACCGGGCCCCCCTTTAGCAGGGAGGTGATGGGAGCTGCTACCTGTCCAAAGTCCCGGATAAACCTCTGGTAGTAATTGGAAAAACCCAAGAACCGCTGCACCTCCTTCACCGTGGTGGGAGTCTGCCAATTACGCACGGCTGAAACGCGGTCAATCTCCATCTCCACCCCTGACGCGGACAACCGATGTCCCAGGAAGGAGATGGACTCCTGGAAGAACAGACATTTCTCTGCCTTCGCATACAGGTCATGCTCCAACAGTCTACCAAGCACTCGACGCACCAGGGACACATGCTCGGCTCGTGTAGCGGAGTATATTAGAATGTCATCAATATACACCACTACACCCAGTCCATGCAAATCCCGGAAAATCTCGTCCACAAATGATTGGAAGACTGAAGGAGCATTCATTAAACCGTATGGCATGATGAGGTACTCATAGTGACCCGAGGTGGTACTGAATGCTGTCTTCCACTCATCTCCCTCCCTAATGCGCACCAGGTTGTACGCTGCAGGATTTCAGTCCTTCACGGCGTAGTGTGTTACCAATTGTTTTCTTGGTGACTATGGTCCTAGCTGCCTTGAGATCATTGACAAGATCCTCCTGTGTAGTTCTGGGCTGATTCCTCACTGTTCTCATGATCATTGCAACTCCACGAGGTGAGATCTTGCATGGAGCCCCAGGCTGAGGGAGATTGACAGTTATTTTGTGTTTCTTCCATTTGCGAATAATCGCACCAACTGTTGTCACCTTCTCACCAAGCTGCTTGGCGATGGTCTTGTAGCCCATTCCAGCCTTGTGTAGGTCTACAATCTTGTCCCTGACATCCTTGGAGAGCTCTTTGGTCTTGGCCATGGTGGAGAGTTTGGAATCTGATTGATTGATTGCTTCTGTGGACAGGTGTCTTTTATACAGGTAACAAACTGAGATTAGGAGCACTCCCTTTAAAAGTGTGCTCCTAATCTCAGCTCGTTACCTGTATAAAAGACACCTGGGAGCCAGAAATCTTTCTGATTGAGAGGGGGTCAAATACTTATTTCCCTCATTAAAATGCTAATCAATTTATAACATTTTTGACATGCGTTTTTCTGGATTTTTTTGTTGTTATTCTGTCTCTCACTGTTCAAATAAACACCATTAAAATTATAGACTGATCATTTCTTTGTCAGTGGGCAAACGTACAAAATCAGCAGGGGATCAAATACTTTTTTCCCTCACTGTATATATATATATATGTGTGTGTATATATATATGTATGTGTATGTGTGTGTATTCTTTATTAAAACTGCATTGTTGGTTAAGGGCTTGTAAGTAAGCATTTCACTGTAAGGACTACACCTGTTGTATTCGGTGCATGTGACAAATACAATTTGATTTGATTTGAAGCTGATGGTGATCTGGTTCCCATCACAGTAACTGGAGTGGTTGCTTTCATATTGTGTTTCATATAGATCTGGCAGTTTTTAACAAGTGTTTCGCAAATCGGGCCAAATTTGGGACAATACCATTCTTTCCTACACATTCCTAAAATCCCCCTTGGACACGTCGTTCCATGATACTACATGTGTGCAAGATAGGGGAGGAGTACGAGTGGTGCCAGGTTGTCGTCGGGTTTACAGCCTACAGACATTCAACACCACTTTTCAACGGTATCAGCAACACCACTTAACAACATCAGTATAAGTATGTACAGTCACCATGGGTGAATCCTGTGAGGGGAGGAGGAACCATGGCCGCTGCTGCTTTCGCAGCCATGTCAGCACTGGCGTTCCCTTTCGTAACAGAATTGGCCCCAGAAGTGTGGGCAGCACGTTTAATAATAGCACCAGCATTAGGTAACGAAACAGCTTCTAACAATGCAGCTACCCCCGCGTCACAATTGCTGCTACGGAGTGTGGAGCGTGTACTGTCAGGAGATCTTTGGGACTCCAGTTCCTCATCTCGTTTTTGCATGTTGTGTTTGTGAGATTCAACCACCGGAAGACTGGTGTTTCAAATTAGCCAAACTGGAAAATAATGTTACTGTCAGCGGGCATTGGTCACGGTTCCTATCGTGTTTCATTTCAAATGCCTTTTTGTGGTAGCATTTGATTCTTGCTCGGTCCAGGGAACCACCCTTTGGCATGGTGTCCACGAACTTGCGATTTAGGAAAGTGCTCCATTTACTCACCTTGTGGTAGTCCGGTGACCATTTGTCTTCAGACTCAACAGCCTGTTCTTTATAATTAGAGGCTCCCGTGGTTTTTAACAGATTTGTTATATATTTTACAAATTTGGCAAGACCTTTGGGCGTATTTTCACTATTTCAGTTCCATGAGACATAAAGAGGGCACTACATTTTTAGGCGAACCCTTCGGGCATATTTGCATTTGGTATTCACATAATTTGCATGTATTTAAGTTCAGGTCATAAAATAATTTCTAAACAGTATAATAAAGGGATATTTACCCTGGGTCTAGCACCCGGAATGCATAGTAATACCTTTTAAACACATAATCTGGTAGTTCTCACCCAGATGTACCTTATTTGATCCAGGATCATCCCTGGGTTTACCTTCACACAACATTTCATCCAGGATCTACTAAACTAACATATGGAATTGTTTTAAGATGGTCATACCATGGATAATTTAGCTATTTTATTTTGAATTTTAAGACCCCTTTAGGTATAAAATAATTATTAAAAAGATTTGATAACATATTGAACTTTGCCTTTACTACTATAGCCCATAGAAACACATTGAATAACACATTCATAAATGGTAAGAAAGACAGTCCAAAAATTATAAGGAATAAGGTTTTGATAGCTTTAACCTGGACACATCCTTTCAGTCCTTTCAGGCTTGTGACAAACATAGACTGAAAAGCATCAGGAAGGATGATGAGGAGATCCAGCCGTTTGTCTTCCACATGAAGGCTGAAATGATCAAACAGCGTCGGTTTGAGTCCGCCTACTGCCAGGGCATCCACACTTCTAACGAGACCAAAGTAGATTTGGGGAAACCCCAGGGGATGACAGGGGACCGGTCATTCTTCTTTGTCATCCATACATGATGGAGAGGGTTTGTTGTTTCTGCGTGTTATGTTACTCTATGTAGTTTCTATAGTTTTTTTATATACCATCATTTTATACCGTCATTGTTTGAAGTGGTCTGTCCTATATCTACGAGATATAAGAAAGCTCAGGAAATATCTTTGTTTTTTTGGACACATTTAACCGCTTATTTTTGTTGGCACAAAACTACCTCCATACTTCCGTTCATTTGGAAGCAGGTAGCTTAGTGGTTAAGAGCATTGGGCCAGTAATCGAAAGGTCGCTGGTTCTAATCCCCGAGCCGACTAGGTGAAAAATCTGTTGATGTGCCCTTGAGCAAGGCACTTAATTGCTCCTGTAAGTCGCTCTGGATAAGAGCGTCTGCTAAAATGACAAAAAAATAAATCAAATAAAAAATTGTATGGGTTACCTTCAGACGAGTCCTGTGACACGTGTGGGGGTCGTAAAGCAAAACGGAGAACACCATAGTGTTCGTGAGAGTCTCAACTTGCCATGGAGTTAGTAGGGCCAAACCGTTCGGATGCTACAGACATTTTTGTGAGAAGACCGATTTTCGGGATGTCTCATGGTCTGACAAACACAGCTGGAGCTTGGCCGCCTTCCACCGCAGATGCGGAAGGGCAACATAGGCGGATGTGGTGGATTGAGACGAAGCCCATGCAAATATCTCTAGCTTAAATTGACGGATTTTGATGGGGATATTTTTATTATGTTCACTAGATTAACGCACGGGTGCGTCAATAGACTCTTAAGGATTAAGAATTAAGATGGTTCATTATAATTGCTACTAGATGTATTTTTAGTTCACCAGCAATTGCATATTTTTCAAATAACTTCATAGTAGCGAGTAAAGGAAATGAGATCAAGGACTATTGTTATTCCCTGTTGTTAATATTATTCCATGTTGTTAATGTTTTTCCCTGTTGTTATTGTTATTCCCTGTTGTTAATATTATTCCATGTTGTTAATATTATTCCATGTTGTTATTGTTATTCCCTGTTGTTAATTTTATTCCATGTTGTTAATGTTATTCCATGTTGTTATTGTTATTCCATGTTGTTCATGTTGAATTCGAGCAGTGAATAGTGTTACCCCATACTGTACAGGTCCTTTCAGGCTTGAAAAGCATATTTAGATAGATGTGCACAAGGACTAAAACGTATTGTAATTGAATAGTTTTATAATAATAATGATAGCTTTAACCTGTACATGTCCTTTCAGGCTTGTGACAAACATAGACTGAAAAGCATCAGGAAGGATGATGAGGAGATCCAGCCGTTTGTCTTCTACATGAAGGCTGAAATGAGCAGACAGCGTCGGTTTGAGTCCGCCTACTGCCAGGGTTGGTTCATCCACACTTCTAACGAGACCAAAGTAGATTTGGGGAAACCCCAGGGGATGACAGGGGACCAGTCATTCTTCTTTGTCATCCATACATGATGGAGAGGGTTTGTTGTTTCTGCATGTTATGTTACTCTATGTAGTTTCTATAGTTTTTTATATACCATCATTTACCATCATTTCATACCATCATATCATACCAACATTTTATACCATGTAATTTGTATTTTTGTATTGATCCCAGGAATCCCTGGAAAACAATGATGATTGCTGAGTGGACTAAACTGACTACCATAAATGTACTGTAGATGAATTGAATATAGAGAAATTGAGGTATACTGATATTACAATATGTATGGAGGTATACTGATATTACAATATGTATGTGAAATGCAATAATGCACCTGTTATTCTGCTATTGCAGAGATAAGTAGATATGTATCATACAAACAAATGATCATTATTTGTGTATTTTTCAATTATTGGTAGTTTAGTCAGATGATTAATGCTTTTCTATTATTTTTCTGTGCCTTTCATTAAGTATTTTTATTTAGAATAAAATGTAGTATTCTAAAACACTATACAAATGTCTTGAATTGATCCATGTACATAATTTACACAAACGATCCAACTTCTAATGTTGGACTTGAAAGAGCTGTGCTGTAGGGGTTTCAGATCTGTCAGATGGTCTGAAACCTTCATACTGACAATCAGAATCCTGTCTGTTCAGCCTCTTCCATCTCAAATGTTTTGTTGGTCACGCCCCCAACCGGTTCGTTTTCGTAGGGGTTCTCTGCTTTCTCTTCAGCTTTCGCTGCGGATTTCCTGTAAACGAAGAAAGAAGAAGAAGAAGAAGAAGAACTATATGTGTCATGTTCATTCAAGCAATTTAAGATACATTTTCAACGTTTTATTAACAACCTCACACTTTGCCAGTTATGACGCAATTAATGTGTCTATTCCAGACCTGGGTCGAATACATGTGTCAAATACTTGAGGAGTTGTTGATTTAGCTTGACTAGATTGCAGGATTTAAATTCATGATTTGAGTTCAGGATTAAGTTTGGTTCAAACTGTATTTGAAGCTCTCTCTTCACTCTTTTCACTTCCGTAAAACAACAAAGTTCACTTCCTTAAAACAACAATATAAAGCGTCTCACTGTTGGCGCTGACTTAGGATCAGTTTAGCCTTTAGATCATAATGAATACGATTACAGGGACAGGGAGGACCTGATCCTAGATCAGCATGACTACTCTGGTATGCTTTATGAAAGGGTTGCAAAATTCCAGTAACTTTGCCCAAATTCCCTGTTTTTCCAGAAATCCTGGTTGGAAGAATTTTGCAACCCTGTTATGAATACGGCCCAGACTCACTTCTTCCTGTCTCTGAAGCCAGAGATGATCAACCCTGTTATGAATATGGCCCAGACTCACTTGTTCCTGTCTCTGAAGCCAGAGATGATCAACCCTATTATGAATATGGCCCAGACTCGCTTGTTCCTGTCTCTGAAGCCAGAGATGATCAACCCTGTTATGAATATGGCCCAGACTCACTTGTTCCTGTCTCTGAAGTCAGAGATGATCAACCCTATTATTAATATGGCCCAGACTCACTTCTTCCTGTCTCTGAAGCCAGAGATGATCAACCCTATTATTAATACGGCCCAGACTCACTTCTTCCTGTCTCTGAAGTCAGAGATGATCAACCCTATTATTAATATGGCCCAGACTCACTTCTTCCTTTCTCTGAAGTCAGAGATTATCAACCCTATTATGAATACTGCCCAGACTCACTTCTTCCTGTCTCTGAAGCCAGATATGATCAACCCTATTATGAATACAGCCCAGACTCACTTCTTCCTGTCTCTGAAGCCAGAGATGATGAGGTAACAGCCCATGCAGACCACCAGTCCCATGACCACCCCAAACACCACCAGCCAGACGGTGACCGGCTGCTCCACGGGCGGGGCCAGCGTTGCTAGGAGACCCTCAAACTCCAGAGTGTTATCGTCCAGTTTGAATGCGTCGTTGATTCGACCTCTGGACAACCTAGTGAGATGGACGATGGCTTGAGTCATGGGGTTATGGGTAATGTTAGGGGTGTTTCAAGTACAAATACTGGAATAAAACACCCATAAGAGGATTTAATGAATGCTGGGGGAAAAATACAACTTTGTTTATGGCTGTAGTTTCAGAAACCGCATCAAGAATGCTACACAAAGTGGTATTACTCAATCTGTTTCAGACAGTCCTGTGGTATCACTCACTCCATCAGTTTGGCAGATATGATTGGGCAAAGTGCATTTTAGTATGTGTAATCAGCTCATGTTCAAGGGTTGACTCCTTTACCTGATAGCAGCCTCTACTTTAGCTTTGGGAATGACCATGGCAGGGTTGGCAGGGTCAGTCACCACGAAGTAGAAAGAGATTCTGGCTGTCTCCCTGTAGGTGTGGATGTTCTCTGTCCTGGGGCAAAGGTCATAAAAAGAGGTGGTGTCACAAGAAGATTCAAATAGATAATATTGATCCAAAATATATGTTTTCATGCTGGAATGTGATGGGAGTGAATGACCTCATAAAGAGAAGCAAAGCCGAGAGTGATGTCTGGGTGGACTTTTATTGTGAAGCAACCTGTGGACTTTTATTGTGAAACACTTACGTGAAAAGAGCTGCCGTCTTGTTGACCTCAAGGTAATACTGTCTCATGGCGTAGGCCATGTTTGCTTTGAACAGGTACATCTCATTGGCATTCCAAGTGTACTGGAAGAGAAAATATGAAGTAAACTCAACTGGATTACATGATGAGATTGTCCAAATGAAAAGGTAGTGGAGCTGTTTTACAACCACAGTAAATTCAGTTTAGTGTACTCACTGCCTTGTCACCCATAGCTGCTTTCAGACTCAGCCTCACTTTGTAGGCATTCTCTGAGACTGTTGAACAGATAAAAAAGAGATGCATTATTATATATAGAATAAAATCTTTTTTACTATATCTAAAATGTCATACAACTTAGTATGACGCGATGTATTGACTATGCATACTAGATAGTGTCCTAGTATGGATAGGGACACTACTCTATAGGTACTCACATGGGTCCTCAGCTGCTCTCCATCCTGGCGTCCTGTTGTTCTTCCTGTTTTCTATTGTCAGCCAAACATGGAGGTCCTTGAAGTAGTCCAGGAGAGGGGCGGAGTCCATCTTCGCATTTCCTGAAATCGTCTCCAAGGCTCTGGTCCACGACTTTGACCTCCCAAACTCCAGCATCGTCCTGTAAAATGAGATTTGGTTGTTTGTTTACTTGTTTGTTTGTTTGTTCATTGGCCATTCGGCATTATTAGAAGTAGACATGACAGACGCAACAACAAACAGATTTAATAAGAGTACCTGAGCTTGTTCCCGGCCGCTTTAGAGTCGGTGATGTCACACTTAAATAAGGGTCCAGAGTGGCCAGCCGCCTCACAGATCCAATGGCGAGCCATGATTCCTGTCGGCAGGCTGCGACAGAGCTTGGGTCAACTCAGATCGTCCTGAGTGAAGTTGCTACTGCGATGCGGCTTAGATCCACTGGGCCAACTAACTTAATGATCCGATGATGTACTATGCAGACGTAGAGTCTGTCCATAAGTAATGGTAGGTGACAGCTACTCTATGAGTACGAACTCACTGGGTCCATCAGTCCTGGTGAAGTATCCATGACACCGAGACAGTCCTGGGTCAATACGTACTTCCTGTAGTTCTATAGACCTGAGACAGCCGGTCAAACAGGAATGTCCTGGTAAGTATCTATGACAGGGACCGAGACATCTGGTCAACATAATGTCCTGAAATGTATCTATGACAGACCGGACAGTCTTGGTCCAAATACAGACATGTCCTGTGAAATATGAAGACAGAAGTCCTGGTGTCAATACAGTTACATGTCTGGTGAGTATCTATGTAGCGGACAGTCCTGGTCAATACATACTGTCCTGGTTGAAGTATCTATGACAGACCAAACAGTCCGGTTCAATACAGTACATGTCCTGGGAGTTCTTGACGACCGGACAGTCCTGGTCAATTAGTATGCCCTGGTGAGTATCTAGACAACCGAGACAGTCCGGGTCATACGACATGTCTGGTGACAGTACTATGACAGACCGGAAGTCCGGGGTCAAATCAGTACATGTCCTGGTGAAGTATCTATGACAGACCGAGACAGTCCTGGGTCAAATACAGTACATGTCCTGGTAAGTATCTATGACAGACCGAGACAGTCCTGGGTCAAATACAGTACATGTCCTGGTGAAGTATCTATGACAGACCGAGACAGTCCTGGGTCAAATACAGTACATGTCCTGGTGAAGTATCTATGACAGACCGAGACAGTCCTGGGTCAAATACAGTACATGTCCTGGTGAAGTATCTATGACAGACCGAGACAGTCCTGGGTCAAATACAGTACATGTCCTGGTGAAGTATCTATGACAGACCGAGACAGTCCTGGGTCAAATACAGTACATGTCCTGGTGAAGTATCTATGACAAACCGAGACAGTCCTGGGTCAAATACAGTACATGTCCTGGTGAAGTATCTATGACAGACCCGAGACAGTCCTGGGTCAAATACAGTACATGTCCTGGTGAAGTATCTATGACAGACCGAGACAGTCCTGGGTCAAATACAGTACATGTCCTGGTGAAGTATCTATGACAGACCGAGACAGTCCTGGGTCAAATACAGTACATGCTCCTGGTGGAAGTATCTATGACAGACAGAGACAGTCCTGGGTCAAATACAGTACATGTCCTGGTGAAGTATCTATGACAGACAGAGACAGTCCTGGGTCAAATACAGTACATGTCCTGGTGAAGTATCTATGACAGACAGAGACAGTCCTGGGTCAAATACAGTACATGTCCTGGTGAAGTATATATGACAGACAGAGATAGTCCTGGGTCAAATACAGTACATGTCCTGGTGAAGTATCTATGACAGGCAGAGACAGTCCTGGATCAAATACAGTACATGTCCTGGTGAAGTATCTATGACAGACAGAGACAGTCCTGGGTCAAATACAGTACATGTCCTGGTGAAGTATCTATGACAGACAGAGACAGTCCTGGGTCAAATACAGTACATGTCCTGGTGAAGTATCTATGACAGACAGAGACCGTCCTGGGTCAAATACAGTACATGTCCTGGTGAAGTATCTATGACAGACAGAGACAGTCCTGGGTCAAATACAGTACATGTCCTGGTGAAGTATCTATGACAGACAGAGACAGTCCTGGGTCAAATACAGTACATGTCCTGGTGAAGTATCTATGACAGACCGAGACAGTCCTGGGTCAAATACAGTACATGTCCTGGTGAAGTATCTATGACAGACAGAGACCGTCCTGGGTCAAATACAGTACATGTCCTGGTGAAGTATCTATGACAGACCGAGACAGTCCTGGGTCAAATACAGTACATGTCCTGGTGAAGTATCTATGACAGACCGAGACAGTCCTGGGTCAAATACAGTACATGTCCTGGTGAAGTATCTATGACAGACAGAGACCGTCCTGGGTCAAATACATATCTATGCGTCTTCATCTCCTACCACCTAAAGCTAAATGACCTATGACACACTGAAGAAGTTCTAGGATAGGTCCTTCCTTATACATGTACTGTACATAGTTACATATGTTCTAATACTTGAGCTAAGCTTGATTTAGTTTACCAGGTACAATGGAACCAATTTAATAGTCCCAAAAATGCAAATTCCAAACTAAATCAAGCGCACCTCGATTGCTATTGGACCCAGATCTGCAAAAAGACAGATACGGCATTACAACGAGAATGGTTGGATGTGAGGGGTATTGAGAATGTCTGGATGTGAGGGGTATTGAGAATGGTTGGATGTGAGGGGTATTGAAATGAGACCTGATGAAGGAGTAGTCTCCGGACACGTGGAACAGAGCAGGCGGGTCACAATATGTCTCATCTCTGGGTAAGGGCTCCACTACACCGACCATATCCCTCCTGGTAACAGAGTTAGCATCAAGTTAGCATTGTAATGTCCCTAGACTGTGTTGCTAAACCAGCTATGAGGTAAAAACAACAGGCCTCCACTAGAGGTCCTTCTTAACATTGATATAGAACACTGATATATTGTTTATGAATCTTTATCTCCCACCACCTAAAGCTAAATAAGCTATGACCTATGACCTATGACCAGCTGAAGAAGCTCCAGGAGAGGTCCTTCCTTACTTCATCTCCCACCAGCGCTGCATCCACTGGTCCTTGGGGATGGTCCCCAGGAAGACCTGCCACCTCCACTCCTCCAGCATGTAGGTGAAGGGCAGGGTGGCCACGATGGTCAGGGCCTGCTTCATCAGGAAGTTGATCTCAGTCTCTGCATTGGGGAGGATGAGAAAGAAGCGCTGTTTCAGAGAGGCTTCGTCCACAATGTTTACGCTATATAGGAAATAGTGTGTAGTGGTCTCTGGTCGAAAGTAAGGCACTTCATAGTGAATAGGGTGTCATTTGGGACATGAAAGTCACTAGAGGAGACATTTTGATGAAACAACGTGAAACAAAAGCAACAACAACACGGTCTGACTCAGTGTCTATTATCCTCATCAGATATACATGTAGATTTGCTCCTGCCTGCCCTGGTCCAGACTCAGCTGTTCAGGTGGAACTCTGCTGTTCCATAGACTAGCTACAACAACAACAACAACTGTTGTCTAACTGTTGTTATCAGATCTAGATTTGCTCGTACCACTACTTGCCCCTACCCCTGACTCAGGTGTCACCTTTGTCCTCAACGAATTCACTTGGCAGGAGACCCAGGGCCTTCAGGTGTTTGGGTGTGGCAGCGGACAGGGACATGATCTCCCCCACGGCCTCGTGGAAGCCCTCGTTAGCCCCTTCTCTCAGCAGGTAGGACAGGTTCCTGTAGGCCATCTGGTACTGGTTGTGGCCCATCTCATGGTGCGCTGTCAGGAAGTTGTCCATGTTCACCTCCGTACACATCTTGATCCTGGAAATGGGGAAATTGGAGAAGTAGATGAAGTCAGGGAAGTACAGTGTAATAGAGTATAATACAGTATAATACAGTGTAATACAGTGTAATACAGTATAATACAGTGTAATACAGTGTAATACAGTGTAATACAGTATAATACAGTGTAATACAGTGTAATACAGCGTAATACAGTATACAGTGTAATAGAGTATAATACAGTGTAATAGAGTATAATAGAGTATAATAGAGTATAATACAGTGTAATACAGTGTAATACAGTGTAATACAGTGTAATAGAGTATAATACAGTATAATACAGTGTAATACAGTGTAATACAGTATACAGTGTAATAGAGTATAATACAGTGTTATAGAGAATAATAATACAGTGCAATACAGTATAATACAGTGTAATACAGTGTAATAGAGTATAATACAGTATAATAAGTTGAAGAAGTTAAGCGTTCAGTGATTCATATTTAATCATTAATGGTTGATGCTGGGTGTAAGGGGGTATAGTCTACAAAATAAGAAACTCCCTCAGAATTCATTCTACGTGTGTACAGCATTTTGAAAAGAAGTTCCATGTGCTGTGGATTTTACCTTGATGATTTATGTTTCACAACAGAGTTCCTTCATATCTTTATGACATGCTGCTGTGACTAACAACATGATATGAGTTCTATATCCAGAATGTTGTTATTAGTGGCTAGTACATGCAATCTCTCTGTCCCTCCCTAGGGCTCTACTCACTGCGTGCCCAGGGCTAAATACAGTATGAACATGCTTCCTGTTACCTGAAGTCCTCTCTGTTCCCCATGTCCCAGGCCGTAGGGTGACACACTGCCTTCTTGCCATCAGTAGGTTTCGTCAGCATAGAGTTATTCCAGAAGTTATCAAACATCTTGTACAGACCCACCGACATGAAGAACTTCTCTGCTTCTTTGAACAGTCTGTCCTCAGGCCAATTCTGGGAATGACAGAAAAGGTGTTTAACTCATACTGTATATTAGGAGGTAAGAATTGAAAGTAACAGAAGTCCCTATTAAAGTCACACTTGTTTCCTTCAGATCCAACCCACAATTCCTATTCTACAATTTTCAAGGTTATATTGGATACATAAAATAGCAGATCATAATATATTTTCACTCAACCTGTGCGATCATAGCGTCGGTCACATCAATATCTGTTTTCTCTGGAAAAGGGGTTGAGATGGGGTAAAGACCTGTCCAAAACCTTCCCCACATGTCACCTGAAAAAGGGAATTGGACAGAGAGAGAGAGAGAGAGAGAGAGAGAGAGAGAGAGAGAGAGAGAGAGAGAGAGAGAGAGAGAGAGAGAGAGAGAGAGAGAGAGAGAGAGAGAGAATAACTTCATAAACTGAATCAGTCATGTTACAGCAGTGTTGGAGCAAAAGCTGGCACACAGTAGGTCTCCCTGAGCCCTGTCCGGTGATGTTACCCAGTAGATGTGCAGGTAGGCCCCCCTCTGGGTGGATGTGTTCAGGGTGTTTGGCCTGTAGTTTAGACCTCACGTAGGCATGCAGCTCTTTGTAGAGGGGGAGGATCTGGAAAGGCAAAATAGAGTTGGTGGTGTGCAATAAAACATATAAAACACGATATCTTTGATGTGGCAAGTCAGATTTGCAAAGAAAGCATTCTGGTTGGGGAGTAACTGATTATACATATAACATATTACAAAAAGCTCTAACTGTAATCCATTATGTTACCAGAAAAAAATATTGTAATCAGATTACAGATACTTTTGAAAAACTAGATGATTACTTCTAGGATTATTTTGAAATTAAGAAAGGATGCGAAAAAATTATTTGACACCTTTCTGTTTTCTCAATGACATTCAAATCATCATTGAAATTAGGCGCACATTTTTTTTGTTCCACCTGAGCGAGTCTGACAACAAGTCAGAGACCACTATTATGACACACCAAATGCGTTAGATGGATCGCAGGAATATGCTTTTGTAGGCTACATTCTAAACTATGACTATGTCGGCATCCAAAGATTATCCAATTTGAATAAACGCTTGGAGGTAAGGACGACAGCAGTGGGGTAGCCTACCGGGCGATACGGATATCACTTATTACTGACGTCTAGGCTACATCGCGCATTGATGTCAATCAAACAGGCAAAACTACGGTATAGGGACAAAGTGGAGTCATATTCAACGGCTCAGACACGAGACGTATGTGGCAGGGACTACAGACAATCACGGACTACAAAAGGAAAACCAGCCACGTCTCAGACACCGACGTCTTTCTTCCAGACAAGCTAAACTCCTGCTTCGCCCGCTTTGAGGATAATACAGTGCCACCGACGCGGCCCGCTACCAAGGACTGTGGGCTCTCCTTCTCCGTGGCAAATGTGAGTAAGACATTTAAGCCTGTTAACCCTCGCAAGGCTGCCGGTCCAGACCGCATCCCTAGCTGCGTCCTCAGAGCATGCGCAGACCAGCTGGCTGGAGTGTTTACGGACATATTCAATCTCTCCCTAACCCAGTCTGCTGTCCCCACATGCTTCAAGATGGCCACCATTGTCCCTGTACCCAAGAAAGCAAAGGTAACTGAACTAAATGACTATAGCCCCTAGCACTCACTTCTGTCATCATGAAGTGCTTTGAGTGCTTTGCTTTGCTTACCGCCCCAATAGATCCACAGACGATGCAATCGCCATCACACTGCACACTGCCCTATCCCATCTGGACAAGGGGAATACCTATGTAAGAATGCTGTTCATTGACTATAGCTCAGTATTCAACACCATAGTACCCTCCAACCTCATCATTAAGCTTGAGGCCCAGGGTCTGAACCCCGCGCTGTGCAACTGGGTCCTGGTCTTCCTTGACGGCCACCCCCAGGTGGTGAAGGTAGGAAACAACACCTCCACTTCGCTGATCCCCCACAAGGGTGCGTGCTCAGCCCCCTCCTGTACTCCCTGTTCACTCATGACTGCGTGGCCAAGCACACCTCCAACTCAATCATCAAGTTTGCAGACGACACAACAGTAGTAGGCTTGATTACCAACAATGACGAGACTGCCTACAGGGTGGAGGTGAGGGCTCTGGGATTGTGGTGCCAGGAAAATAACCTCTCACTCAACATCCACAAAACAAAGGAGATGATCGTGGACTTCAGGAAACAGCAGAGGGTGCACCCCCCTATCCACATAGACGGGACCACAGTGGAGAAGGTGGAAAGCTTCAAGTTCCTCGGCGTACACACATCACTGACAAACTGAAATGGTCCACCCACGCAGACAGGTGAAGAAGGCAAAACAGCGCCTCTTCAACCTAAGGAGGCTGAAGATATTTGGCTTGGCACCTAAAACCCTCACAAACTTTTACAGATGTAATAATAATAATATAATAATATGCCATTTAGCAGACGCTTTTATCCAAAGCGACTTACAGTCATGCGTGCATACATTTATGTGTATGGGTGGTCCCGGGGATCGAACCCACTACCTTGGCGTTACAAGCGCCGTGCTCTACCAGTTGAGCTACAGAGGACCACACAATTGTACAATTGAGAGCATCCGGTCGGCCTGTATCACCGCCTGGTACGGCAACTGCACCGCCCGCGGCTGAGGGTGTCTGCCCAACACATCACAGGAAGGTCAAAAAGATAATCAAGGACATCAACCACCCGAGCCACTGCCTGTTCACCCCGCTATCATCCAGAAGGCGAGGTCAGTACAGGTTCATCAAAGCTGGGACCGAGAGACTGAAAAACAGCTTCTATCTCAAGGCCATCAGACTGTTAAATAGCCTTCACTAGCACATTAGAGGCTGCTGCCTATATACATAGATTAGAAATCACTGGCCACTTTAATAAATGGAACACTAGTCACTTTAATAATGTTTACATATCTTGCATTACTCATCTCATATGTATATAGTGTATTCTATACTATTCTACTGTATCTTAGTCTATGCTGCTCTGACATTGCTCGTCCATATATTTATTTATATATTCTTAATTCCATTGCTTAATTCCATACACTCGCAATAACATCTGCTAAATACGTGTATGTGACCGATTTGATTTGAATCACACTGCTGCTCTCTCATTTAGCTATTTGCGCCTTATGGATTGTGGATGTTGTGAATGAGGATGGATGTTCACAAATGTATATGTGTTTAAGCTGCCTATCCATCATTGTTTTTGCGACCAGGGGTGTATTTATTAAAGAAACCGTTTACCTTTTAAGAACGAAACGGAAGCAAACAGAGCAAAACTAGAGTTTCTATTGGACAAATTCAGGTAGGTCCCTCCCCGTTTCGTTCTGTTTGCTTCCGTTTAAGAAACGTTTGGCAACAGAATCTGCGTAATGAATACGCCCCCAGAGTATACTGCCAGTATAAAATGCGTTCTTGCAACAGCTGCGGATTCCAGCCTATGGAATAAAAGTTTGAGGGAGTTCCTCACTTCTCAACTCCCCCGTGGTATTGTGCTCCATACTGTACACAACGAGTTGCATTTAAGAAGACCACAAGGGAGCCCAATCAGTCGTCCATGACAACAAAATCATAAACAGCAAGAGTAGGCTAATTAGTCCTTAGTTATTGGGTTATACTCGGGAAAAAACTATTTAACTAATCTATATTTCCATATTTCCAAGACCTATTCTTTAAGATCAATGGGAATTCTATTAATTGGAATGATTGGAGATCTGACAGACTGGTGTTTTTGTTATGTAAAGATATAGCCTAATCGTATTATTATCTGTAGTAGAAAGCAATGGGTTAGAAGAAGCCTACATAACCAACCCATAAAGTAAAATGCTAAATCCATATATTTTTTTATTCAACCTTTTTTTAAACTAGGTAAGTCAGTTAAGAACACATTCTTATTTACAATGACGGCCTACACCGGCCAAACCCGGACGACACTGGGCCAGTTGTGCGCCGCCCTATGGGACTCCCATTGATACAGCACTGAGATGCAGTGCCTTAGACTGCTACGCCACTCGGGAGCATTTATGGTGAGCTATGTGAACTCTAACATTGATTTATCCTGCAATGGATGTTGTTCAATTGGTAATATTCATTTTTGTCTTCTTCTAATGCCTCTTAAGCAGGTTGACGTTTATTGGGATGAGTCTTGTCCTGGAGGCAGAACTGAGGGGTTTCAGCTAGATGGACCAGCTGCAGAGTCAAAATTGGCTATATTGTAAAAATGTATGACTTTTTTTGTGCTTTTGGTCTTAATTTAAGGTTAGGGTTAGACATTAGCTGTTAGCAGTGTGGTTAATGTTGGGGTTAAGGTTAGGGTTAGGTTTAAAATCAGGTTTTACGACTTTGTGGCTGTGCCAACTAGTGACCACTTTGTAGAGCTGCCTCCATAACAAGATTCATGAGGAAAAACACTAACCTGTGCCTCTTAAGGGGAAATCTAAACGTAACTGAAAGTAATTAGATTACATTACTGATTTGGGTAATCCAAAGGTTACGTTACTGATTACAATTTTGGACAGGTAACTAGTAACGGATTACATTTAGAAAGTAGCCTACCCAACCCTGACTGTACAGTACAATAATATATGCAATAACAAATACATCCAATAATACAAAATAGTATCAGTAATATTTTTTTCACAGTGTTTTTGCTACATTCAAAATATTGAATTTGTATGTGAGCAAAGCTCAGCGTAATTGAAGCACCACAACAATCGACAACGTACCTCTTTGTAAATGCGCCTCACATCGGTCATCAGTTGGCCCCTGGGGTAGTTGTACGGGCTGTCATCGATCGTTTCATAGTTGGACCTCCAGTAATCTCCGTAGTCCTCATAACCTGTGGAGATAGATATAGTAGTAGTAGTTGGACAGGTTTGTAGTAGTAGTACAGTAGTTGTGCAGTAGTAGTATAGTAGTAGTATAGTAGTATTATAGTAGTAGTAGTAGTAGTAGTAGTAGTAGTAGTAGTAGTAGTAGTAGTAGTAGTAGTAGTAGTAGTAGTAGTAGTAGTAGTAGTAGTAGTAGTAGTAGTAGTAGTAGTAGTAGGTAGCTCAGTTGGTAGAGCATGGCGTTTGCAACGCCAGGGTTGTGGGTTCGATTCCCATGGGGTATGAAAATTAAAAATAATAATGTATGCACTAACTGTAAGTCACTCTGGATAAGAGCGTCTGCTAAATGACGTAAATGTAAATGTAGTAGTAGTTGTATTAGTAGAAGTGTAGTAGTAGTAGTAGTAGTAGTAGTAGTAGTTGTGCAGTTGTAGTATAGTAGTTGTGTAGTAGTTGTGCAGTAGTAGTAGTAGTAGTATAGTAGTTGTGTAGTAGTAGTAGTAGTAGTAGTAGGATTGGTGGTGGTAGTAGTAATATTAGCAGTAGGACTATAGTAGTAATAATAGCAGTAGTAGTAGCAGTATAGTAGTAGTAGTAGTAGTATATTAGTAGTAGCAGTTTTAGTAGTATAGCATTATAATAACAGTAGTAGTAGTGTAGTAGTAGTAGTAGTATAGTAGTATAATAGTAGTATAGTAGTAGTAATAGTGGTGGTGGTGGTGGTGGTAGTAGTAGTAGTATCAGTAGTATCAGTAGTAGTATAGTAGTAGTAGTAGTAGTAGTAGTAGTATTAGTAGTAGTAGTATAGTAAGTAGTATAGTAGTAGTAGTAGTAGTAGTAGTAGTATAGTAGTAGTAGTAGTAGTAGTAGTAGTAGTAGTAGTAGTAGTAGTAGTAGTAGTATAGTAGTAGTAGTAGTAGTAGTAGTAGTATCTAGTAGTAGTAGTAGTAGTAGTAGTAGTATCAGCAGTAGTAGTAGTAGTAGTAGTAGTATAATGGTGGTAATAGTAATAGTAGTAGTAGTAGCAGTAGTATCAGCAGTAGTAGTAGTAGTAGTAGTATCAGCAGTAGTAGTAGTATTAGTATTAGTAGTATCAGCAGTAGTAGTATAATGGTAGTAGTAGTAGTAGCAGTAGTATCAGCAGTAGTAGTAGTAGTAGTAGTATCAGCAGTAGTAGTAGTAGTAGTAGTAGTAGTAGTAGTAGTAGTAGTAGTAGTAGTAGTAGTAGTAGTGGTAGTAGTAGTAGTAGTAGTAGTAGTAGTAGCAGTAGTATCAGCAGTAGTAGTAGTAGTATAGTACAGTAGTAGGTCTACCATTGAGTTTGGCAGCTTCATTCTTCAGGTCCACATAGTCTTCATATAGAGGCCTCATCTTCTTCCCCACCTCTACTCTCCAGCCCTCCCACACATGCAGACGCTCATAGTAGTCACTGTCCATGTTGGCCATCACACTCTCCAGCCCTAGACATTAGACACAGCAGTAAACCAGTTGAAAAAAGGGTAGTTCATATTTGAAATAGAAACTCCAGCACACCAGTATTCTTGTCCGTTCCCTTGTATTCTTGGCATTCCTGTATATATCCTCGCATACAGCAATATCAGTGAGCTGGGGTTTCTTTTTTCATACACAACATCAAACCACTGTCTGACCTCAGATTTCTGAAGCTATCTCCCTCACCAAGACAACCAAGCACCACCTCCTGAAGCTGAGGAGACACCTTTTACAATAAATACTATTCCTTCAGAATTAGGGCTGTTTTTCGGCAGGGCCTTTTGTTGTTGCAGTATCTGACAGAGTGACTAGTAGTCTTGAGACATACAGTTTTATAGAAGTCTAGGGTCTGCATCCCACTGGTACACTATTTAGTACACTCCTTTTGACCCTATATAGTACACTACTTTTGACACTACATTGTACACTACTTTTGACCCTATATAGTACACTACTTTTGACCCTATATAGTATACTACTTGTGACCCTATATAGTACACAACTTTTGACTCTATATAGTACACTACTTTTGACCCTATATAGTACACTACTTTTGACCCTATATAGTACACTACTTTTGACCCTATATAGTACACTACTTTTGACCCTATATAGTACACTACACTTGACCCTATATAGTACACTACTTTTGACCCTATATAGTGTACTACTTTTGACCCTATATAGTACACTACATTTCACCCTATATAGTACACTACTTTTGACCCTATATAGTACACTACTTTTGACCCTATATAGTACACTACTTTTGACCCTATATAGTGCACTACTTTTGACCCTATATAGTACACTACATTTGACCCTATATAGTACACTACTTTTGACCCTATATAGTACACTACTTTTGACCCTATATAGTGCACTACTTTTGACCCTATATAGTACACTACTTTTGACCCTATATAGTGCACTACTTTTGACCCTATATAGTACACTACTTTTGACCCTATATTTTGCTCTACGTTTGACTCTACTAGGGCCCTGGTCAAAAGTAGTGTACTATATAGGGAATAGGGTGCCATTTGAGACAGTCAATGACCTTGGACGTCCATTATAGGTGGCAGTCGGTCGTAAAGTAAGGTTGCCACAGCTGAGCTGACAGTTGGTACTTTATAAATGGCACCCAATTCATTACATAGTGCCCTGCTTTTAACCAGAGCCCTACTGGTGCCATTTGGGAGTCAGCCGTTTACCTGGTTCCAAAGTTTGACAGTTGAAGGGGTCGTCTTTCCTGCACACCGTGCCTGTACTATAGAGGGAGCTCATCTCATTCATCACTTTGTTCAGCTGACAGGAAATACAACAACAGCAACACAAACCAGTTATGTTATGTTGTGTTATTACAATGATTGACTAGCCTGTTCCCGTGAGTATTTGGCCTTCGTACAGATTTACATTGGTTATATTGGTTATATTAAAAGAAGACCAGTCAGACTAACAGATGAAATGCGGACAGAAAGAAAAGCTCTTACATGTGAACACAAAGAGGACCACAATGGAAATAAGTCCTTTCTCTTCTCAGTGCTATAGTAAATGATTTGAAATGCATTGTACCCACATGTTGGTGAATTGTGCTTTTAAATGGTTAAATAATTCAAATCAAGAAAATAAATATCAAAGACAGCAGTAAAAGACTGCGTCTTACATGTGCGGCTTTGTCTGCGGACAGGGCCCCAGAGCCCTTGTCCTGGAGTGAAGTCAGCTGGAGTTTGATCAATGGATCACTGATCTGATCGATTGGAAAGTTCTCAGACTCCTTCGATACTTTGCTGTAGTATTCTCCCCAGATTGCACTCTGTACACCCTGAAACATAACAAAATGTTGACAGAAATTACATTAGATTCATAATATTAACAATACCATACAATAGACAATGGAAAATAAATAGTTGTCTGTCTGGAGTTATGTGTTGCAATGTAGCCTACCAATCCAAAAATGACAGCAATATACCATTATTAACATTGTTCAAAACCAGAACCATAGATCCACCGGGTTTCTCAATTCAGTCTTGTGGTCCCCCAGTCTTGGTGGTCAAATAAGGGGTCTCCGAAGATGGCTTTGAATTCTGCCTTTCATTAGCATCACTTTAATCTACCAGAATACTCACCAGTTTGTCTAAATTCTCCTGGGAGATATCTGTGTTGTACGCCCATGATGCCAGGGAATACTGATACATGAGATGAGTAGCGTTTCCATCAAACCTGTCCAAAAACTCCTGTGCCCTTCTCTCTAAGTCTGACTGTGTAGCCACACAGGTCACAGCAATCAGCCCCACTAGAAGAAGCCTGGTCATAGACATCCTGTCTGAATATCCCAGATGGCCACACTGAGAGTTTCTTATTCAGTTATATCTAACTCTAAGGGCTGTCTTCGCCCTTTGGTCAGAGTCATAACTCCAGGGTGTATCTTGTCCTTCGTACACAGATTGGTTGATAGAAGGGTACAGTGTACGTCAGTGGGCCAGCCAGCTATCACACGGTAGACGGGGTACTATCTCAGACATTGCCTTTGTTCTAGAACTATAACATTGTTTTGAAGTTACTGACAGTTTCTAAATCTTACTGTAACTTCTCCGCTGAGACAGTGAACAATGTACATGTTTGAAGTGTGTGTGTGTGTGTGTGTGTGTGTGTGTGTGTGTGCGTGTGCGTGCCCAACCCTTCGCACTAGTAGAGTAGAGTAGAGTAGTGGGTAGAGTAGAGTAGAGTAGAGTAGAGTAGAGTAGAGTAGAGTAGAGTAGAATAGAGTAGAGTAGTGTAGAGTAGAGTAGAGTAGAGTAGAGTAGAGTAGAGTAGAGTAGGGTAGTGTAGAGTAGTGTAGTGTAGAGTAGAGTAGAGTAGAGTAGAGTAGTGTAGTGTAGAGTAGTGTAGTGTAGTGTAGTGTAGTGTAGAGTAGAGTAGAGTAGTGTAGAGCAGAGTAGAGTAGTGTAGAGTAGAGTAGATTAGTGTAGAGTAGAGTAGAGTAGAGTTTATTATCCCCCAGGGGGCAATTCATTTTGCAGCACATAGTGAAAACACATTGAACACATGACAATAAATATAGACAAAAACAATCCATACTGCAGGGTTCCCCAACTGGCGGCCCGCGAGCCAAATTAGTGATTTTATTTGACCCCCCAAGTTCTCTGAGCCAATTATTATTTGTATTATTAGATTTATTTTTTTACATAAAAGACTGTCAAAACACCAGCAAATCAGCTCCAAGTGATTTAAATTTTAGAAATCTTTTCCAAAGTATTCCCACGCATAATAGAGAGATATATGTGATCTTATACACATGTAAGCAAGGTTTGAAATTATTATGTTTTATTCAAATATGATATCTGTTTGGGCTTCTTGCGGTCAATTTGCAGTCCACAAATTATTAGAAAATGATGTTCCGGCCCCCTGACCATCAGCTCAAGAATAAAGCATCCAGCGACTGAATCCAGTGATCCCAGCAATACAGCACACAGCTACCAGTACTACTAGAAGTTTATTGAGACAGCTGATAGCAGCTAGGTTTGATAACCTTGATCTGCTGGTCCAGCTGCACTAAAGTACATAAATACTGTATGGCCATAAAAACATAAATTAAGGCTTTCTCCCAAATGTCACCCTATTCCCTATATAGTGCACTACTTTTGACCAGGGCCCATAGTGCACTATGTGGGGAATAGGGTGCCATTTGGGATGCAGGCTAAAAGGAACTCCAACCAAGCTTAGCATTTATTAGCTCTGTTCCATGCAGTAAAACGACTGTACAAATGTTTAGATTTTTAACAGTTAGTCATCTCAAATGCACCACTGCAAATGCTTTTCCAAAACATAGATACTTTATAATACTTAACAAAAATACTTTATATTTATTGTTAATCAATAAGCCTTCAATAGATCATTTGTAAGGAAATTCTTTATTAACACAGGGAAGGAAACTCGTTTTTAACAGATCAAATCCCAACTGTTTGGTTTCCTGTGTCCTTAGCTGTACTTCACCAGAGGAACATGATTTAAAAGAAACAACACTTCATGATTAGCGTCTTGCTTCTAGTAAAAACCTTATCAGATTCAGGACTGTTACAGGCAGAATGGAAACTGCAAGACATGCACCTCTGGGCCCTAAAGGGAGATAACAATTGATCAGATCAGGGCAAAGTTGAGTATTAAACTTGTTATTACCACAATATGATAACAGATATCGGACCCCAGAACCTGCAGTCCCCAGTATTTTATTTATTTCTCAGTTAGTGAATCAGCATGAGAACGGCTAGAAAGGGACTGGAGGTTGTTCCATCTTGTTTAACTCACTCATTTTAGATGTATGTCACTATATCATCATATGGTTTGGTGTTCATTTTATTGGTCTACTGAACATCTAATGGAGTTTTTGTATTTTGTCAATACACTATATATTTTTTTTTATCTCTTTGCCTCAAAACGCAGTTGTGTTTATTTTGAACTGAATGTGTCTTGCATGAGTATCCAGAGAGATGAAACAGCTAAAAGGTGTTACCTAGAGACCAAAAAGTCACATGGGTGTTTCTTTCTTACCTGACTGACCTCCAGCATCATAGAGTCACTTCCTGTGTGGCCCTAGGTCGTGATGGAAGGATACTTTTCCACCTGTTCAAGCTTTCAGTGCATCGCCCACACAAACGTATCCCTCCCTGTCTACCCCAGGATCAGGTGTCAGTGGCTGCCTCTGGTTGCCTCCCTAATGACCCCTATATCCTATTTAGTGCACTAGGTTACTTTTGACCAGAGCACTATGAGCCCTGGTCAAAATTAGTGCACTTTATAGAGAATAGGGTGTCATTTGGGACACAGTCTGTATAACCCCAATATCAAGTGTCAGTGACTAAAACAGGCTAAAACACGCCGAGTTCCCTCACTTCTCACTGTTACACCAGAGATTCATCTTCTGTTGTCATGACTGACAGGCTGAGCAATAACATCGTAAACCATCCCTTTTAATGTCCTTTCAGGAAATTACTATTTTTGGGTCATTGTCATTATGTAGCTGTTTGATATCATTGCAACTCAGACAACACCCTGATTTCTTAGTAGACCAAATCAGTGCGTGTGTGTGTGTGTGTGTCGTGCGTGTGTGTGTGTTCGAGAGAGAGCGAGAGAGAGAGAGAGAGAGAGAGAGACAGAGTGAGAGAGCGACAGAGAGACAGAGAGAGAGAGAGAGAGTCCTCCGTTAGTGATGCTGCATGTGATTGATTCCAGGAAGATGAAGTTACGAGATCTGCCACAAGAGGGGGCTGCTCTATAATCACAGCCGTGTGACACAAGAATCAGCCTCTCTCTCTGTCTGCCTGACCTCTTCATCGTGTTCTGACGTTACTAACATGTATTCCAGGAATACCTTTATCAGACAGTGTGTAGCCTATGTGTGGCTACTTAGTGTCCAGTGCTACATATCTTATCCAGTTCATAGAAATGTAGGAAGATACTGTAGCCTTTAATGGGGAAAGATGGAATGGAATTATTCCAAACGTTTGACTAATAATAAGTGATTATAAAGGATGATGGTCTCAGTTCTAAACAGTTCACCCTATATGGATGAAAATACCCTCAAATTAAAGATCACAGTCTGCACTGTATCCCTTTCCGGCAGTCAGGTGACCTAGTGGGCTCATGGGGGGAATGTTATTCATATTGTTCAGAATTTGTTTATTAAATAATTAATTATTTAGAGCCTAAAACTTTGGGGTGGGGGGGGGGGGGGGGGGGGGGTGCTAAGATGACATATAGAATTGTTTTAAGATGGTCATACTATGGATAATTTAGCTATTTGATTTGGAATTTTAGGACCCCTTTAGGTATAAAAATAAAAAATCAAAAAATATTGATTTTGGCCTTTACTACTAAAGCTCATTGAATAACACATTCATTACAAATATAGTATTTAACCCCTTTTTGGGGGTAGGCACAAAACCTTCAGACGAGTCCCGTGACACTTGTGGGGTTCGTAGATCAAAACGGAGAACACCACCGTGTTCGTGAGATAGAGTGGTCATAATAGTTTTTTTAGGTCAAACCGTTCGGATGCTACAGACGTTTTCGTGAGAAGACCGATTTTCGGGATGTCTCATGGTCTGACAAACACCGCTCTAGCTCTGCCACCTTTCACCGCAGAAGTATGATACTGGCATTACAATGGGCCTCAGGTCTCGTCACAGTATTTCTGTGCATTCAAATTGCCATCGATAAAATGCAATTGTGTTTGTTGTCCGCAGCTTATGCCTGCCCATACAATAACCCCACCGCCACCATAGGGCACTCTGTTCACAAAGTTGACATCAGCAAACCGCTCGCCCACACGACGCCATACACGTGATCTGAGGTTGTGAGGCCAGTTGGACGTGCCAAATTCTCTAAAACGACGTTGGAGGCGGCTTATGGTAGAGAAATGAACATTCAGTTCTCTGGCAACAGCTCTGGTGGACATCCCTGCAGTCAGCATGCCAATTGCACGCTCCCTCAAAACTTGAGACATCTGTGGCATTGTGTTGTGTGACAAAACTACCAAATTTAGAGTGGCCTTTTATTGTCCCCAGCACAAGGTGCATCTGTGTAATGATCATGCTGTTTAATCAGCTTCTTGATATGCCACACCTGTCAGGTGGATGGGATTATCTTGGCAAAGGAGAAATGCTCACTAACAGGGATGTACACACATTTTTGCCCAGAATTTGAGGAAAAATAAGGTTTTGGTGCATATGGAACATTTCTGGGATCTTTTATTTCTACACTGAAAATCCGGTGTTTCTATGTCAAAGAGTTTTGTTATATTTCAGTCTTCTGTGATGTATATAAAGTGTAATATTGGGATGCAAACTGAAAATGGAATACATTTCAACTCTATATCTGACATGATACAGGTGTCTTCTTTTTTTAAGCCCATAACCATGTGTGTGAGGTGTATACTTTTGTTTCAAAGTAGATTTGTTTAAGACTACCAAGAAACACTCTGTGTGACCCTGATTTAGCCCACTGCAGTAAAAGGTTATTAAAGACGGTCGAAAGATGCTAACATCCCACAACATCTCAACATGAACAACAACGACTGTAATATCTGAAAGCAACTTTCTGTTTCCCAAAGAATTCAACCCAGCTTTGTATGAGACCGGACACTGAACCACTGCAGATCATTTCTAGACCCTGTCCCTCAGCTTTGCTAACTTAGCAGTTCTGTTCTAATACATTGGTGGGGACCCTCACCACATAGACAGAGCTTAGGCTGAGGCCCTCTGAATGATTCTGACAACAACAGTATGGATTAAGTGAAACACTTGTTCAGCAAAAATATGAATGAACGCCCAGGAAACCCCCATTGAGTGAACTTGAATCACATCCATTCATTTAACTTGAATGTG